TATTGGGGCTGAATGGATATTGGAATTTAAGGTAAGAAGATAATATTAGTTGTTGGATGAGGGACGGATTGATGAAGGCTGTTTGAATGTTTGTTTTCAGAGAATTTTGTCATGAATCGAATATGAAGCTTAAATCTTGTCAGGTTTCGAAGGCATGTTTGCTAAGTCAGAGGCTGATACAAATTCGGCATCAAGGCTTATTGAGAGATTGGTGAGGAACCAGATTCAATGTCAAACTAGCACCAAGCTACAGCATAACCATATAATATTGTCACTCAATAAACCCTTCGAGTTCACAACTTCATGATTCATTATTATTCCATAACTCATAACAACAACTGCTTACTAAATGAGCAAAAAAACATTTAAGCATAGTAATTAGCATTCATGATCTGTATGACTATAATCACAACATCACCCTGACTACACACGAAAAGGAAACAAATCAAATCAAATAAAAATAATTCATTCCTTATAACCACAAAAAAAATGTATTCCTTTTTAATTGGTGGCGACATTAAAATTAACATGTAACAATGTTGTGCCATTGTTGTTGCTCGTGCAAAAAAAAAACTATAATTTTTTTGCATGATATTTTGTCAGCTCAAGACTTCACATTGTACATGTATGTGAAAATGTTTCAATTACCCCCTTCATTAAAAGACATGCGATGAATAATTTTACAATAAATTTAACAGAAATTATTCTTGAATGTTGGCATAACACAATAGATCACTGATAACGGGTGAAAAAGAAATAATAATGCATACAGGGAATACATAAGGTTACATAACAATGCAGTATATTAAGCATGTCAGCAATATTCTCTTTTTGATTCTTTTCTCTTGTCGGAAGAAAAAAAAATATATATTGACAATAGCGTAAGGTTGGAAGATATATGAAGAAAGATAAAAGTGAGCATATAAAGTGCGAAAAATGCTATAAAATTTAAATGATATGAATAGGACTTAGTAACATGATGTGATAGAGAGGTATGGCACCAAAAACTAGTAAAAAGTTATTCAAGAATTACAGACTGTGGCGCATTTTAAGCTGTAAATGCCAGATTATGCCGTTCAAATGTTTTTTAAAATTAGAGGTTAAAAATGCCGACCTCTTTCAGCCTGGAAGTTGTTACACCACCTCCATCTTATGACAAAAATTAATTCAATGTGCTATTTTTATGATTGATTATATTTTCACTCTGATCAAATCGTAAACGGCAGTCCAAATAAGTTAAAGTTTGAGGCCGGTTTCAAAGGCTCCTGTCTGTGGATATGGCTCAAAAAATGCATCTTTAGTAGATAGACCTGAGCAAAGGGCTCGCGTTGAACTGGTTGTATGTGTATGATGGATAGTCAAGGTGAGATAAGTACCTCGGTAGCCGAGTGGCAGGGATCTCTGATCGAGTGGTCAGAGATTGCCTCTTTTGAGGTCGTGGGTTCGATTCCCATCAAACCCGACTTGCTTTACATTAGTATACACATATGATCGACATCTCCTTTAGCCACAGTTAAATTATAGGTTAGGTCCCGAATGGCACAAATCAGTTTATCGATCAGAAATCCGGCATCAAATCAGTGTGATTCTCTGGCATGGTGCTGAATTTAAATCGAAACCAACACCATGCCAGAGTCATATCTGCTTGCCAATGGATTTCTATTCGATTAACCCAGTTGCACTATTCGGGTGTGCTTGAAAAGCTCAGACAACTAGCTTGAATTAGAAGAGTAGTTAAAAGACTTACAGTCAGTCAAAATTCAAGCATTAGCATACTATCACATTAAATAAAACATGTTAATACTATGAAGAAAATAACGGTGAAAATGAGAAACATTATCAGCAATCTAATGATAACCGCACTCTAGTTTATTATTATATTTTTTTCTGTCAGCTTCCATTTGTGTATTTTCCGTGACTGTGTGTGAAAGGTAAGAGGAGAACACACGGTGCTGATGAAGCAACCTAATCCGATAAGCCTAGCTATACGAAGAAAAAAAAAATTCTATTCTCATCTATTCAGTAATTTAGTACTAGCATTTAAAGGAAGCAACGATAAGGAACTCTAAGTGAAAAGGAAAGAATTCAATCCCCCGTGCGTTTTGAAAAATATTCTTTCTTTAGCTTTCGACGAAAGTCAAGCAATATTGCTTCACATTTTACGATATTTTAGATTAAGATTAGTATAAGTTTTCTCGTCTTTGACTCTCTCTTGTTGACTGTAAATATGGATTGAGATGTATTAAATAGAAACATTACATCCAAAATGAGGAATTAACGTAAATGCATAATTTTTACAAGGAAATGTTAATTTTTATTGGATGTTAGGCTTAACTTGACTTGTGTTGGTGTTAGGTGGAGATAACATTGAAACAATTAAGTGATGAAGGAAGATGGAAGACATGCTGAGTTGATTTCCTTTGGAAATCACCATTACTCCATCGGAAATGCTTGCTGCTTTATTAAATTTGCTTATTATTGTTTTTATTAATGATAAAAAAAACATAAAAGCTATTAAAATGGACAAATATATGAGAAATTAAGATTTAAATAACAAGTGTTGATTAACTGTCAACTAAAATTCAAATTTCATGTATTTATGGTTGCATGCCCCTCTAGTTTGTAAAAAATCTGTCTTATTCAGAAAATCAAACAGGAAACATCGATAAAATTAACTTTAACTTAATTATTAGATATCAAACCTACTAAGACACCTTCAACTTGAGCAAACGCCTCGTCCAGAAGCTTAAACTTTTTCAAAACTATAAATACTAAGCGATATAATTACAGTATTAATAATATGCAAAATCCAGTACAAATTCAACTTTGCAAACTATTCTTAAACATGAAAATGGAAGTAAGTTGCATGGAACTAATTCATTCATGGCATAATGATCTAAAGTAAGGATGGGTAGCCAAGAAAATATGTTGAATTGCTGTTAACATGAAAAGTTCAAAATAATGAATTTTTTTTGGGAAAATAAAAAGTTTTTAATTGAATTTCCAACAAATTAACAGTCGAGTCGTATGTAGCGTCCCATGAACTTTCATAATTCTTCTACTAAATTAGATCATTCTCGACAATGCACTGGAATTGGATGAGAAAAAGATTTTTAAAGCATATTTGTCGCCAGAATGTGAGAAATGCTCAAATTGCTTTTACGAACATAATTTTGCAACATTTTGGGGCGGAAAAACTTTTTTACTGCCATTTCCTATGACTAAAAGGGAAGGAAAATTTATGGTGAGAACGTTTAATTGATATATTTGGAACGCAGTTGGATAAGTGGCTTGCACAAATTTGCCAATTATTATCATCTCTCTCACTCGTTTGCTCTGTTTTTAGTCTTTCCTTTCCCATCTATATGCGTTGGCGACACTATTATGCATTGTACATTTAAAAAAAGTTTGTGTCGACAATTGAACCCCACTTTTTTAAGGCCTTTATTTATCCCATTAAGTTAAAACAAAAGGATTGATTTATTTTAATGTCTGTCTGACTGCTGCTTCTCTTTAGAGAACTTCTGAGTCTGCAGTTCTTATTGTGGACGTTTTATAGTCATAATATCAAGCAAAGCTAGCATTCGGACTGAAGATAAGAGCCAATTTAAGGATATTTCAAAGGGAGTAGTGTCGTTTTAGACTTGAAGCGAAAAAGCACCAGTTTTTGACAGAAATCTAGCTATGAATATGGGTTGGCCTTCAACGTCTTCTTAACTTAACTCAAACATGAATAAGGTCCTTTAGTGACCATAAAGAAATGAAGCCAAAAATGCCATAAAATTGATAATTCTCATTTCAAAGAAACTAAATTCAGGTCATTTACCATGAAAAAAAACACAAAAGCATCAAAAAACTAACCTCAAAAATCTAATTCCCCATTTTAGTTCATCCACTTCCCCATCCAATCAAACAAAAAGTAAATATAGAACAAAAAACAATCACAACTTTTTTTTTTGCAGCACAAAATCACAACTTGCCTACAAAAACATTCGCTACTTGTCTTCATTTTGGTAAAATTTCATTTCCGATTTAATTACGAAAGTGCACGCGAACGTCTGAATGGCGTCAGTAGCACAGGACTTTTTTATTTTCATTCAGCAAAGTGCATAGTTCTCTTTTTTTCTCTACATTCAAATGCCATTTCAATAATTTGCATCTTCAGATTTGATATAAAGCCTGACCATGTTCACCTGAATTTATTGTTCTCGGTTATAATTTTTTTTTTAGTGCTGTAGACTTGTAAAATGTAATTTTTGTTTGTAACAATTGCATTTGTACTGGTACTGTGACATATAATTAGCATAAAAATTGTCGCGTTACTTTTTCGCTAGCCTGAAAATTTTTGTCGATCACGTACTTTTTAATTCTAAGGAAATCATGTTACCCGCAATGCACTTGCAAAAAAAAAAGTTTAATAAGCAATAATCACGATAAAAATGTCTATTGTATTTGCTGATTGCGAAAAAATGATAAATAATAATTTTTTGAGTTATTATTATGTGTCCTTACATGTGTTTATGGAATCGACATGAATAAATCGAGAGGGTAACGAACTGCATCAGCGGATAGGGGATATGATCACTGTTTTGTATGTTTGACAGAATTTGTCAGATTTGAGTGCAAATAAAGGAGGTGGATTTATTGTATTCAATGTAGGGTCGTTGATTTATGACGTCCAGAGTGGGAGGGGTAAAGACAATGACAACAATGAATGAAATTCTAGAAAGTCAAAGCTCTTGTCAAATCTTATTAAATTAGAGATATTTTCTAGTAAGAAGAAGGGAAGTTCCAATTATTACAAAATCACAATAAGTTTAAATGCTATTGAATTCACAATATACAGCATGCTTCATAAAAACGTTCCAATGTGCTACAACTTAGCAAAGACACATTCACAATACCAACTGTCATTTAAAATTTAAATAATTATCCTAACATATAAAAGTATTGTCACTTACCCTATCGTTGCTCATGTTGCTCAGTTTTTTGTCAATATTCAAAAATAAGTTCGTCTGCCACATAAAAAGTCATTAAATAATTAATTTAAAGGATATTTCTAACATAACGAGTACATGCATTCAACGAGTTCTTATGAGACAAATGTGAATAAATGAAAAAACCGGTAATTAATCATTTAATATGTGCTTTTTACTTGAAATTACTAAAAATTCTTATATTTCTAATTTTCCTCAACAGAAGAATATGAGGATACTTAGTGATATTAGGCTTAAAGGATCTAAAATTGAATTGATAGTGCCACTTATTCTGTTGCTGGTGCTGAATTTAATCGCAATAATTAATTTAGAATGTTGCATAATATCGTTCCTAGTCTTTCCTGTAATTATTGCCGCTTGTTACATTTGGTTCGCTAAAAAGCATTCAAGGTAAGTGCCTACGTATGATTAAATGCCCTTATCAGTCATGTTTGACTTGTTAAAAAGTAATTAAAGTATGTGAAAAAACATGAGATTTTAAAAATCAATATTTTGTTTTCTTTATAGGACGAATATCTTCTTGGCCTTGTCAGTTATCTCCTGCATTTATATTGTATTTATTTTTGAGTTTACGTTACCCTTATTGGAGCTATTACCACAAGAAAATTTCATATTCGTTACTTTTATATTCCTGACTGTATATTTCTTCTATAAAGTGAGTATAAATGTCTACTGGATCTTTGCCAAATTAAGTGATTCATGTTAATTAAATATTCATAATAAATTGCAGACCTATAATCAATCTGCACTCAACAAATTAGGTACATCAGAACCGTCTAAAGAAACGTTTGATTCATCTACAGTCACACTGATCTCTCCAGAAGACGAGGATTTAATAGAATCAGATGATCAAGATTCAGACTTACCAAATGTTAGAAATAGTTGCTCAAGTTGCAAAAAATACATCCCAGCACGAACTTTTCACTGTAATATATGCAAAAGTTGCATAATTGGACGTGATCACCATAATTACTTCTTCAATTGTTGTATTGGACGATTTAATCATAAATATTTCCTTCTTGGGTGTTTAAGCTGCATATTTACGCTGTTGCTGTTTGCCAATCTTGCATTGACATCAATATGCCATCCATTTGCTATATTTCAATTGTTCGGGATCATGTTTCTTTTACCCGATGACTGTAGTGAAGTTTTTAATGATATTGAGTGAGTACTATTATTTTTATGATATGATTGCTATGATTAACTTGATTTGTTTTAGAATCTCGCTGTGTTTTGTTGCAGCAATTTATGCACTCGAAATGGCTTTAGTACTGCTGTTTGTGATAATCCAGCAATTGGTATTAATTTCGAAAGGTACAACGTCAACAGAGTATTGTTTTAAAAAAGAAAAAAGTCTGAACAGATATAGTTGCTTCAGAAATTGGAAGAACTTTTGTTACATCTAGAATCTAGGATCTAGATGGTGAATGCCAATGATTTTAATTAGGAAAAATAAAATTCTAAGTCAAAAAAGGATTAGGGAAGAGCTGGAGAATTGATCTTGTGATGCGTAGAAACGAATTTGAAGCCATATTGGCTATTTTCGGTGCTTAATATATAGAAAAACTCTAAAAAAGGTATTTAATATTATTTTTTAAAATAGTAAATCAGCAGGAAAAAGTAGTTTTGTGTTTTCTGTTTAGAAAAGTCAAATACTTGACATTAAATAGAATATAATGTAATGTAGGGTTTTGCTAATAGCAAAAGCGGCACTGCGATCGATGATCTGTTGTACCATCCCAAGTCCCCTATGTTAGAATTCCGATGTCCTTAATGAAGCCAATAATGTCCTGATAATGCTGCTTAATTACATCCTCATCATTCAAATAGTCCTCATCGAAATGCTTGACACTTTGTCCTCTTAATGACCTACATTTACAAAGTATATGAATGATTGTTTCTTCATTCACATTACAAAACCTGCAAATTTTACTGTTAGTCAAACTCAATTTGAAAAAAAAAACTATTGATACTCATGTGTCCTGTCAAAGCACCAATTAAGATGCTAAGATCTTTCCTTGGTAGTCTGAGAGCATCCGATATTTTATTCTTATTTTTAGGACCAAGAAGTCTTTTGACTGTCATGGCTCCTTCCTCTAAATTCCAGATCCGAAAATGCTGTCTCTCCATTATGCTTTCTCGAAATCCCGGTCCCGACAAATTTTCGGGATCGGGATCGGGATTGAAATTTTTCGGGATTTCCCGGGAAATCCCGGGAATCCCGAATATGTAAAAAAATTTAAAAAACAGCATTTTTCTGCTTTTTTTTCCAAAAAAAATTGTATATTTTTTTGCTACTTATACGGTCATTTATTCCTTAATTAATTAGTTATAATTTATGTGTTACAAGGTAGAGTTTTAATCCATGTTTCCTTTGAAAAATGTGAGCATAAACAAAAATAGAAAATAAATGTTGATAAAGATGTAAGTTTAAAGGTTAAAGAAAACGGTGTGAATATAATAATAAAAATTAAGCATTAATGAAAAAATTTTTAACAAATGCAATTGCATTTAGATTCTTGTCAAGTAAACGTTTTCTTTGTTTTGTAAGAATGTTGTTACTAATAGAGAAATTTCGTTCGCTTTGAGTTGAGGTCGGCTGCATTGTTATCAATGCATCGTAAAGTTGATCTAACAAAACGGTTCTCTTCTTATTTTTGTCATACCAATTAAACTCTCTTTTCAAGTTATTTGGTTCTGTTGCTGCTGCATCTGTTGTTAATGATGTATATTCAGATATGCTTAGTTTCAGTCTATCTCGAATAGAAATGTTTGACGGTTGGATTTGATTTGCACTGGATGTTGAAGCTTCCATAGCTCCATTTGTAGAGTTTTTGACAAAATACTTTTTCAATAAGTCAATGCCAAGTTTATGTATTGCAGCTTTTGTTGACGATTTAAAATGCTTGTGTAAAGAAATATATTGAGGTAAAGTATTAAGTCAATTAATGTTCCATTTCTTCGTGCACCTATGCGAGCGCAATTCATATCGTAAACCTTTTGAGACAATAATGTTCCTTGTAGCAACAATTCGTCTAGCAAAAAGTTAATTGTTCCTTCAGCAATTAATAAATCGTCTGATTTACGCAATAATTCTTCTGTCGCGTATTTAGCAGGTTCTAAAACATCAATAATTTCCTAAATTAAAAAACCGGGATTTTCAATCCCGATCCCGATAAATTTCGGGATCCCGGGATTGATCGGGATCGGTAAATCCCGGGAAATCCCGATCCCGATAGCGAGAAAGCATACTCTCCATCCATTCTCTTATGTCTGACTTCAACAAGCCAAATCCATAGTCCGTCGACTTATGATAAGCTTCCTTGTGTACTGCTTCTTTAGCTGATTGATCAGCTGTTTCATTACCTTCAATACCACTGTGTCCAGGTATCCATTTTAGGATGACTTCATTATCTTGCCCCAATGCTGTTAAATAAGAAATACAATCAAGAACTGTTAAAGACTTCACAACACAATTGTTTAAAGCCGTCAAAGCTGATCGACAATCTGTAAGAAAGCAAATTCTACATTTCAAATCAATATCCAAACAGTAATTAGCACCCACACAAAGCATGATCTTGCAGTTTGTAGGATGAATTCAAACTCAGATTATTGCTGAACAAACCAATGCCAACACCCCTTTCTGACTTTGATGCATCAGTAAACACAAAGATACAGTTATTATCCACCAATTCACAAGATTCAGCAACATTATCTTCTGATACTACTACCTTAAAAGGTTTGTCAAAAACGTATTTTGACACTATATGATCCGATTCTAAAGTAAATAAACTTACACTCCTTAGAAATCGATTTAATTCCATATGACCTGTAGAAATCCAGTCATTAACCCATAATTTATTAACCTTCAATTTGGATGCACTTGTTTGAGCTGCAGCTTCGATTCTCACTCGAAGTGGAGGAAGCCCAAGAAATCTATCCAAAACAAGTTTTGGAGTAGTTTTCCAAGCACCGAAAATTGACAATTCTGCTATTCTTTGTAGTTTCTCAATTTTCTGAGAGGCAAAAACTTGTTTCATTTTATGCCACCAAACAACACATCCATACATAATTCTTGGTAGAATAACTTTACTTGGTGACATTAAATAATCGAGGATTACTATCATAGAGTAGATTTAGAATGGTGATTATCAGTTTTGATGAAGTCAGATCTTTAATAGCAGTACTGTTAAACATATAAGCAGAATATGAATAACTGTTAATTAACCACTGCACTATCGAGGGTTAATAAGTTCTTTAATCATTAAACTTCTTACAATCGCAAACGGAACCTAAAGGGCTAAAATGAGCATTAAATGATTAGTTTGAAAAATCACCAGAAAAAATCAGCAATGGAAGTATTTCAAAATATGCACTATGGGGCAAAATGAAAAAAAATCGATGATTCAAATTTTTTTTTTGACTTTTTCGAGTTACGATCTCTGGGTGATTTTTTCTTATTAAGGATATCAAAACTGGATTATGTTCCAAATTTCAGGTCATTTGGTGCTGTTTTTGCGATTCTGTAGCTGTTTGAAGTTGGAAAATGGCGAAAATTTGAATTTTTTCATGCATTACTTAAACTGCAATTTCTCTACAATGGCTAAAGATATTGAAAAAGTTTTCAGTTCCTAATAGGAACATATAAGAGCTTTATTTTGATGTAGCACAAAGTTTGGAAATATGTAGTTGTGGTTCCGATATAGTACAAAGTATATGAAAATCCTATGAAAAATATCTTTAAACGTGCCGCAACTGTCCAAAACGGCCATTTTCCCCCCCATAAACCATATATCAGTGCAAAGTTCTTGTTTTCTAGTTTCCAAAACAGTAATAACATTGTAATTCTGTAGAGGACTAGAAAAGTTATCGCAGTTTAAGTGAGACGACAAATATTTTGCCAAAATTAAAATTTTCTCATAACTGTATAGAAAAAATAACCACAGATAAGGTTTGTTCTGTTTTTCAATGCCAAATGTTATTTAAAGATGACCTGTGAAGAAATTTTTTCAAAAAGTTCAAAATTTGTCGATATATATAGGGTACTTTTGATATCTGACGACTTGTATGTTTTTTTCATCACTCAAACCACTAGTACTCTTAGAAAATTAAATATTTTTGAATTTTGTTTTCAGTTTATTGTAGCTTAAATTAGTACCTTTCTAATGATGTATAATACTTGATAGTTGACTTTGATCTTGATCATGAATATGAGGCTTGTTTGTGAGCGACCCTAAACTACAAAAAATCTCAAAAATTTCATTTCTAGAAATACCACTTGGAAACAAAATTATGTATTGAGTTTTGGTTTTTTATGTTAATTTATGATAATTATGACTAAAAACACTCAAAAAATTGTATTTTATAAACTTTTGGATATCTCAGGTAGCTTGTTTAAGTACGATCCTAGTAGTTTTTATTGGCTCAAAAATTCCCAAGTATTACACTATTTCTTGGAAGCTTATCGGTTGATATTTCATAATTATATAGATTTTAAGCAAAATAAGTCAGTTTAAAATATTTTTGTTTGATAAATTTTGGTTTTTGACTATTTTGTTGAAGTTTAGCTTGCGTCGGTCACATTCAATTTACTCCAGAAGCAGATTTAATGATTTTTCATACAAGTATTATACATCATTTTAAAGTTATTAATTTTAACTAGCAATAACCGAAAACAGAATGCAAAAATATGTATCCTGAAAAAGGTTAGAGCTCTTTATGTCCATCAAAAAGCCTACAAAAGCGCAACCAGCACATGTAAATTTACAAAAATTTGAAATTTCACATTTATTTTGGCAAAATTTATTCTATTATTATTTCCTTTAATATATTAAACCTTTTTCTAACAATTTGCTCTAATAGTAGTCATCGAATTTTCAATTTTTGTGAATTTACCTATGTTGGTTGCGCTTTTGTAGGCTTTTAGATGGACATAAAGAGCTGTAACCTTTTTCAGGAAAATTATTTTTACATTCTGTTTTCGGTTATTGCTAGTTTAGATCAATACCTTTAAAATGATGTATAATACTTGTATGAAAAATCATTAAATCTGCTTCTGGAGTAAATTGAATGTGACCGACGCAAGCTAAACTTCAACAAAATAGTCAAAAACCAAAATTTATCAAACAAAAATATTTTAAACTGACTTATTTTGCTTAAAATCTATATGATTATGAAATATCAACCGATAAGCATCCAAGAAATAGTGTAATACTTGGGAATTTTTGACCCAATAAAGACTACTAGGATCGTACTTAAACAAGCTACCTGAGATATCCAAAAGTTTATAAAATACAATTTTTTGAGTGTTTTTAGTCATAATTATCATAAATTAACATAAAAAACCAAAACTCAATACATAATTTTGTTTCCAAGTGGTATTTCTAGAAATGAAATTTTTGAGATTTTTTGTAGTTTAGGGTCGCTCACAAACAAGCCTCATATTCATGATCAAGATCAAAGTCAACTATCAAGTATTATACATCATTAGAAAGGTACTGATTTAAGCTACAATAAACTGAAAACAAAATTCAAAAATATTTAATTTTCTAAGAGTACTAGTGGTTTGAGTGATGAAAAAAACATACAAGTCGTCAGATATCAAAAGTACCCTATATATCGACAAATTTTGAACTTTTTGAAAAAATTTCTTCACAGGTCATCTTTAAATAACATTTGGCATTGAAAAACAGAACAAACCTTATCTGTGGTTATTTTTTCTATACAGTTAGGGCTCGTTCACTTATTACGTAACGCAAAAAAACGAGTTTTTAGACCCCCCCTCCCCCCCTGTAACAAAGCGTAACAAAATCTTAGACCCCCCCCCCCTCCCCCCCATAACGTAACAATAATTTTTTTCATTTAAATTGTTTATCAAATGTTTATTATACTTCCTTTAAAATTTAAAATGAATATAGAAATATATTCACAAAAATTGAAAATTTTGTGTGAATATGAAAATTATAAAAAAATATATTTTTTGAAAAGTTACGTAACAAAATTTAGACCCCCCCCCCCCTCCCCCTGTAACAAACCGTAACAAAATCTTAGACCCCCCCTCCCCCCCTAGTGCGTTACGTAATAAGTGAACGAACCCTTATGAGAAAATTTTAATTTTGGCAAAATATTTGTCGTCTCACTTAAACTGCGATAACTTTTCTAGTCCTCTACAGAATTACAATGTTATTACTGTTTTGGAAACTAGAAAACAAGAACTTTGCACTGATATATGGTTTATGGGGGGGAAAATGGCCGTTTTGGACAGTTGCGGCACGTTTAAAGATATTTTTCATAGGATTTTCATATACTTTGTACTATATCGGAACCACAACTACATATTTCCAAACTTTGTGCTACATCAAAATAAAGCTCTTATATGTTCCTATTAGGAACTGAAAACTTTTTTTCAATATCTTTAGCCATTGTAGAGAAATTGCAGTTTAAGTAATGCATGAAAAAATTCAAATTTTCGCCATTTTCCAACTTCAAACAGCTACAGAATCGCAAAAACAGCACCAAATGACCTGAAATTTGGAACATAATCCAGTTTTGATATCCTTAATAAGAAAAAGTCACCCAGAGATCGTAACTCGAAAAAGTCAAAAAAAATTTTGAATCATCGATTTTTTTTCATTTTGCCCCATAGTGATATGGCCAAAATTTATGATATATATTATTTTATCAAAGTAATAGACTTGGACCTAGCAAGCATACGATACAAAAAACGAAACCGATCCCAGTTCAAAAGAGCATATAATTCCCAAGATCAATTTCTCCAACTCTTAAATAAAATTTTAGGTATTATTTATGTTATGGAATGTTGAATCTCGTCTTTATTTCAATTTCTCGTCTCTTATTCTCGTATTCAAAAATCTTTTTAATAATAATATTAATTTCCACGACTTGCATGAGCGTGGAAGCATAGTTTAAGATTTTAATACATTAATACTGTATAACAATATAAAAAATTTTTAAAAAAAATATCCCAACAGTAAACAAATTTTTATCATCTAAATAATTTCGTATCCGAAAATACCTTGTATCGTTATATTAACGCAATCTTTCCCTATAAAATCTTCTTATCAATCTATTCTCAAATTCACAAATTTATTAGGATTCCTTTTTTTGAAAATATCAAATTCGTAATTTGTCATATTTTTAACATGAACTATTGAATTCTTTTTGCAATGAGATACTTATTAAATAAATTAAAAAAATGAGTCAAAATCAACTATTGTACATCTTCATCTATTTAATGAAATATTTATAAACTAGAACTACACAATAAACCCCACTCAAATGGTGTCAATATTTGAATTAACAGCTGATAACTTAGTCGATATAACAGAAAGATTTTGGCCCTTCTCTCGATTACTTATGGATGAATCACGATATACCTGAAGCATTAAATCTCGTGGCAACTCGCCTGAATATGGTACAAATTGTGGATTATCTTGGATGAATTTTTTCGTTTTTGATGAAAGCTTTTGGAACGTCTCAGCAGGAAGTGGATCTTTCAAGTCTAATGGATCAAGGACTGCTGATCTCTTGACTTCATGGGGTGGTAAGTATAAGACACCTTGTCGATCACTCGCTTCAGCAATCATAATGTCAGTTGGATCATTTGATGATGATGAATTTACAAGAGGCAATGCAACTACATCTTCTGGTGATGGAATAAACATTGGCTCGAAGCTTTGTGGATCACCTTGTATAAACTGACCTTCTCCTTCGTATACATCATGAAAATCGGAATCACTTCTTCTTGATATGCTTGGAATTGTGAATGAAACTTTGTCATTGTCATTTTCATATTCTAAGGATGCATCATCATCATTAAGAATCTCGACATCTTCACGTCTGAATATTGGACGGAATCCACTTTCTACAATTATTGAATCAGCCTTAAATCCTGAATTTGTGGCTAAATCAGCAATTTGTCGTGACTCATTTTTTGCCTGAAATGGCTCTTTGAAAGGAGATCTTGCTGGTGCTTTCTCTGGCTTTCTGTTGCCTCCTTTAATTAAATATTGCTCATTAATCTTCTTATTCTTAAATGCTGTTTGCAACTCAATTTGTCCTTTAGATGGTTTTCCTACGACAACATCAGATCCTTTATAAAATGGCTTAATTTCTGTTGGCTCACCAAGAAGTAAAACTGGTTTTGGTGGACCTGAAGAGATTGGTTGATGTTGAGGAGGTGGTGGAGGTAATTTACCCTTATTGTAGTTTCTATTTCCAAAATGTGGAACATTGCTCATATGTGGAACTGGTTTTCTATAATGATTAATTTGAATAGATTGTTGTGGAAGTAAATATTGATTGCGATGATGATTCTTCTCAACTGACATAGGAACTGGAACTGGTAATGGACGACGTCCTTGCTGCATTGAGATTGGAACTTTTAATGGACGGTATGTCTGATAAAGCTGTGATTGTGGTGGTCTTAAATAAATTGGAATTTGAGATGATGAATAGTGTGGACGAGGAGATAGTTGAGGAAGTGGACCCAAAGGTGGAACTGGTCTTCTGAGATTATGATGCTTTATTTCTGTTGGTGGAATTTTTTGTTCATGATTCAGCACATCACCATCAAATCTAGTCTTATTTACTTTTTGATCCTTTGCGAGTTGTGCCTCCAATGCTTCTGCAGTCTTGATTCCTTCAGCAATCAGCTTACTCAATTCATTTGGGATTTCCGTTCCATTAATGCTTTTCGGTGGTGCTTCATTCATATTATGATGTTTGATTAAATCCTTTTCGTGCTGCTTTAAAAAATTGTCACTTGGGTAGACTTTAGATTCGTGCCTTATCGATGGTTCTGCTTCAAAATCTTCAATTATGATTTCCTTTCGTTCACTTGCTTGTACTTCACCATCACATCCATCAACGACATTAATTTTCCATCCAAGATGACGATGTGTAAAGCATTGATAATAGACTGTGTCTGGTGTGTTCTTATCTGGTGTCCATGTGATAATTCCTGGTTCTCCCTCATCGCACTTCAATGTAAGACTTCTTTGATATGCACCAAAGCTTGGATATTCGTCAGCTATTGGTCCTTTGAGATCTGGTGTCCAATTACAAATTCTTCCAACGCCTGATGGAGTTACTTTGCCATTGCCTCGAGCACGTTGAACACCCGCGAATATTTTTATTTTCTACAGGATTATAAAAGGAAAAAATAATTCTGTTGATAGACATAATTACATTTAAAGCACTTACTTCACGTTCCTCGTTTGTCTTGTACTCATAACCTCCAACAGGATCGTCAGTAATGTAAAATGGACTGTGGAAATTTCAAGTTTGTAGAATTTTTAAATATTTTAAAAAATTCAAAATTCTTACTGGTAGTTTGCAGGCACATCTGGGTTGTTTCCTCCTTCAACAACAAAAGTATAGGTCTTTCCTCTTACAACATTGATTTCAGGGATCAAGAGGCCATTGATGTACCAAGAGATACCCCAACCGACATGTCCTATTAAGAATAAGATCAATAAATTTAATCATTTTTGTGCTTCATTGTGAGATGTAGGCACAATTACCTGTGATTGCTGGATATCCTCGTTTTCCACCAGTAGGTCCCATTTGTGCATCTAACATAATTAAATTTATTTATTTATTCAACACACGAAATTTTAAAGAATCTTCATAGAATCTTTTGGGTGAAGCACGTCTACACAATCTCTTTAAATTCTACATCTTCACATCGTACCTTAATGTCACTCAAAAATTTGACAAATTTGTTTCACGTCTTTTCAAAAGATTCTGCTAGATTTGAAAAAAACATTCAGCTATACTTACAAAATACTCCATCCTCAGGTTCGTGACATTGAATTGGAGGAATTTCCCACGCATCTTTCTTTGATGCGGCTTTTGGTGTTGGAACTGGACGTTGTGTTGTGATTACTGGTTTTGCAGGCTGTGTTGGTGTTGGTTGGCGACGAGGTGGAGTGTCAACTCTGTCTTGACTTCCGACTGGTTTCCTGTTGTTTGTTTGATTTTGATTCAATTTTTGTGTTTGTGGACGTGTTTTTTCACTTCCTGTGTCAGTCAAAAATGGTTTTACATCTCCATCAGGAATTGGGCAGTTCCAGAATGGTTGACGTCCAAAATCAATGAGTTTATTTTTCTTCAAGTATTGTGAATGATATGAAACCTCAAATCGTTGGTTCAATGGACCAATAGCCCAAATAATTGCTTGAGATCCATTAGTAAGAATTGGACGATCAAAGGAATCAGCAGCCTTAAGTGGACGTTGATATGTCACAATTGAGTAATCATTCACGATTGCTGCATTCAACAGGCGAATTGAGTTTGTATTCTCATTTAATCTTGTATCCGGACATGACCCACGATTTCCTGAACATTGTGATTTAGCATCCAAGAAGTAATCTTGTGCATATCCTTTTCCATTTCCACGATTTACCCACGCAACAACTACGTCACCTCCAACCATGATACTATTCTGTGTGTCAGGCGATACACCAAATGACATATATTCATTATCATCTGTATTGAAAGGAGGAAATTGGCATTAATTGTTATGATAATGAGAATTATCAGAATAATTTAAATAATCTAATTAAGATTCAGTTGACATATTATGTAAATCGAAATTTATGCAATAATAATAGTGGCCAAAATGTTTCTGCATCCACGTCATGACATTTTATCAATTAAATAATAATGAATTTTGGGAGTTTGCTGACCGAGAAGCATATGAGTAGGTTTAAAATTTATGAAGTTAAAATAATACTGTACATTTTAAAAAAGATTATAGAATCTAAAGAGCAATTTAAAAGAAACTAGGGTTCACTCTAGAGCAGTGTGGTCCAAAGTTTTTGAGCCATGGCACACTTTAGGGGTAAGCCATGACCAAAGTCGCACAGTGCATGCAGCTTGCAACATTACCAAAAAATTTCTATGGCACACCAGTTTGCTGCAAAACACAGTTTGGACAACACTGCTCTAGAGTCTAGACAGGTATGAGATTTAGGAGATCAAATCATATGAAAGCGAATCTGTCGGTACAAAAGTAAGGCTTCTGCGGCAAAACAGAAAAAAGGACTTAAAATTGTAATTCTCTTTTTCTGTGAATGTAAGTTCGATTCTCATCAGCGACTTAACTTTATGAATCGCCTAACACTTTAGGATCCTATCTCGAACCTTTTAAAAACACAAAAAGATAGAAAAATGCTGCTTCACAATGCACCATAAATTTTCCAATATAAATCGATACATATGCAGCACAAGCTCAACGATAAATTAAACGATTCGATTTATGCATTCAACCGTACACACACAGTGAATGCAGTCATTCAAACAATTATATTTACGTGAATTCCCCTCTTTAAATCCCACACAGGAAAAAAATTACAATTAAATGTCATCAACATAATTATTATTGGCATTCAATTGCCATCCAATGCACACTCCAAAAGACAATCAAATATTGTTATAGTAAAGTGCCAACAACAATCCACTATAGACGTGTCAAGAAGATAAATTGCTCTTACACTTAAGATTGTCACATGCTAATTTACAAGATCCATCAATATTAAAGCATTCTACGATTTATGTCTCTTGTTGCTTGTATATAAAGTGTCGTATCCTTGAGCTTAAATTTGCTACAAATATTATTTGCTCTTTAAAATTAATAGATGAATATTTTGCACCCGAAAACCAGTTTTGTCTATTTGGTATTTGTATGTATGCACATCGAGAGAGAATAGAGAACTGAATCAACAATAATTTAAGAGTAAGTAATTGAAAAGTCTATTTAAATTAAAGCGCATTTGGCATTTATAACAGGAATAGAGTTCGAAACTACTGGCTTCCTGGATACATCGCTGGCTTTACAGATCAATTGTGATCCATAGCCTCCCTTAGTTTGCGTCTGAAAAAGACTCTGTCGTTGGCTCCTCTCTGCCAATCTTCAATACCAAATGCTATGCTATCTCTGTCAACAGCTTCCTTCCAGGAATTTTTTGATGCAAGTAGGATTGGTTTTTTTACAGGTCTCGATAAAAAGAGCTTCGTCGACTCTGAGTCGATTCGACTCCATACAAAATTTCATCGACTTTGAGCTCTGGAAACTAGATTATGTCTAGTAGCTTGGTTATGGCCACTTTTTGATTATTTTTGACTCCTATCCTGGAAATCTACCATTTGAAATTGACAGTGTCTTAGCTTAAACTGCACTTTTATACATATTTAAACTAGGCTTTAGATTCCCACAAATCTCTTGACTATAAGCTTAACAACGATAATCAACAATAAAAAATCTCTGAGCATCTAATTAAATGCTAAATGTATAGCTGAATTATTTTTTGCATACTACATTTTGCCACACAGCTGTAGATAAATCACACCCAAAGTGCCATTCATGCTTCACATTCACTTTATTAAAACATGCTTGAAAAAAAAAACTCACCAAGTTTTGCCACTAATTGAATCACAATACTTTCGCCAGCAACAGCCCATCGAACTTCGAATGCTAAATCATCGTGCAAGACCTCACAGTTGAGTTTTGACTATAAATACAAGAGGATGGATATGCTATAAAATTTTATAAAAAAAAATTTTAATCGAGTTTTATTCTTTTTTGGAGTGAAAATTAATTTTACTTTAATTATTCCATGAAAATTAAAAGAGTTTACATCCAAAAAAGAATTAAAACAGTTTTATTTAATAACATGCATGATATATTTATTCTATGTAACATCTCGTTGTGCTATAAATATTTTTGATTACAAAACAAAAGAAGAAGGAAAATGTCATGGGAAGATTATGAAATAATGAAAGGATTCATCATTGTGGTCTTCGATTCGGTCTCTTTCTCTTATTTACCTGTGGACTTATTCCTAACATCTTTAATGATGGCGGTACATTGATTTTCTCCGGAACGCGTACATGCCCGAAATCTACCGTGAAAGCTGTTTTGAGAAATTATGAATATTTAATTTTATTGCCTCAAATTTGATTTTAAATTCATTTTTTTTCTTACCTTCACACCAAACTCCGAAATGTCCGATATCAAAGACTGTTAAGTCGCCGGGTAAAGTTAAAACGATTGTTTTTCTGTCGTAGCGTCTCAGTGGAACTTCTTTGCCATTTTCATCAGGGATTTTAAGTCCACTTGGTGAGGGTTTTTGACCACGACCAACCCAGAATTTTGCGTCTGTTGAATTAAATTTTAGGTTAGATTTAGGAACTGCTTGATTGATTAAAGGCTTTTTGGAAGGACTTCTTCATTTGAAAAAAAAAGAATCTAGTTTATTGAAGGAATGCAAGCAGGATTTAATTGGAATCGAACGATTGCCATAAATCTGTTATGTTCGACTAATTCCTAGATCCTTGTCTCACCCGACTATCAAGATATTAATTTTGCTTTGACTACATGTCTTACAAATATTACCAGTTCTCCTTTAATTAATGATTATTAATCTCAAAGCTAAGAACTTGAAGCAGACTTCAAGTCGCCATACCATATAATTTATATTTGAGCAGACTGTGTGTCCCATTGTAGCTTAAGATACAATCTAAAATCTATCGTCATTCAACCAAAAAAAATTATAAAATTAATTGAATCTTGAAAGATACAAACTTGAATATCATTAAATTTAACAAGAATGTCCTCAGATTGCTACCGAGAAATAAAGATCTAATATTTCAGGATGAATATTCAAGAAATAATAAATTATTGACTTATCCACTTCTCAAGAAGCAGACCGTATATAATGTAATTTCAAGCTACTTAATAACACTTAAATCCAACTAAGCATTGTGTAATGACATCATAGATTTAAACATCTGCAAATGCCGGTCTAAGTGCCAAACCATTAATTTCATTCAATTGAGTAAACCACAAAAGCCATCAATTAATCAAGCAAAAATAAAAATTATTTCTTAGCGATGTTAGAAAATATCAAGGCAATATAATTGCAATAATCATCATTATTTATTTACCCGGTGCAGCTCCATCATATGAAAAGTTGGGAATCAGTAATGTTTGAGCATCAACAATTACAATATTGTCGGAATGAACAGCATGGATGCCATTTAACCCAGCAATTTTCTGTGGCCTCGGAAAGTCAAGATTTTTCGGAATCACAACATTACCAAAATCGACAGAGAATTCATCGCACCAAACTGAAAACCACTTAACATCTCTCAGTGTCTTTCCTTCGGGCAATGTCAATGTAATGTCCTTATTTCTATAACGCTTTAATACTCCGCTGCTGCCACGCTCATCACGAATTCTAAAACCTCCTGTATTGCTGGGCGTTCGAGAATTGCCAACATAAAAGTATGCAGCTGGTCCCTCGCCATCATAATTGAATGATTTAATAAATAATGTCCGAGAATCAACAGCATATACATCACCAGATACACTATGATGTAACTCAGACAGACGACTGATATGTGTTCCGTAGTATTTTTGTTGTGCAGCAACAAGATTCACTGAAAGTAAAGATTTTAAATGTCAGATTATGTTAAATGTCAATAAATTATGGAATATATTCTTATTAAATGTAAAGGTGATGCTTAATAAGTGGCCTGAGTTGTGTAATTAGCTTTATTGTGGGATATTTTGATATCATCCATTGGGTCAAAGGTTTGAGGCTATGGTTTTGAGATGTAGAAGGCTATAGAATTATTGTGTATGATAAAATGGTATTGAATGGAAGGTTTAATTGGTTCTGTTAAACACTAGCTGATGTAAATGAGCACATTCCCCATACCTGAGGTTTTATAATTTTTGTAAGGTCCGAGAGAAGCTGGATCAACTAAAATTGCTCTAAATCAATTTTGAAATCCGATTCGAACCTTCCAAAATCCCTTAAAACTCAATTCGTCCACAAAAAGCCAACCAAAGTCCCATTAAAGATTAAAATCAGGCAAATATAATCAATAAGAAGCTCTATCGATTCCACACGTTCAAAAATGTATCTTCAAATCTGTTTGTTATGTAAATGTATTACGGATTATGAAATACATAAACTTTTGGTCATTGAACTTTCGCTTTCTTTCGCATGCTTCAAAACTGATTGCTTTTTGTTAATTTTTCAATATTACTAAATCAAATCGGCAGCTTTTAAACGGATGATAGTTAAAGGGAACTTTAATTTCACTTTTTTTTGATTGAAGTGAAAAAAATTAGGTCTTTCGTGAATTTATAATGATTTTTTTTGCTGTCTTGTAACTAATCAGATGGAACTAGCCGAAAGAAATTGTAAATATTAATGTATGCATAACAAGAAGACAAGACCTTTAATTTCAAATGTCATAATCGTAAAAGAGGTTGATGTAAATTAGCAAAACGTAATATGATTATACTAAAAGAGTGGTTTTTATGAAGCAACAGATGCAGTGGCTATAGTTGAGCTTTAATTAAGAAGGAATAAAGTTTTTTTCTCATAAAAATCACGACAATTTTATTGCATTTTTATGAAAGCGTTAGATGGTAAATTAATGAATAGTCGTTGGACTTTCGTCACTCTGAAGAAACTGTTTGGGACCATCTTTAATAAATTCCTCAATTTAAAGTCTCAAAGATTGCAGCATGAACAATTTATTGAAATGGCAGTTTTGCAATGTTTTTCCAATGATCAATTATATTTGAACTCATAGAAATTTCCCTTCATGCTTCAAATTCGTAGTTTGTCACCCTTTAGACTAATCTTTATTGGAGCAACACAAATCTGCAGTTAAATGTGTCTTGATCTTTAAAGAGAAGGCTATAGACCACAGTTTATCTTTAGATACTTCAGAGAAGGTAAGGGGCCGTTCACTTATTACGTTCGCATTTTAAGGGGAGGGGGGGTTTGAAAAATTGTAACAAAATGTAACATAGGGGGGGAGGGGGTGTCAAGAAGAATGTAACGTTCTAACTGTCGTCTGTCTTTTAAAAAAAAGTTCACGAAAAAAATTTGAATTATGAACGTTCAGGTGGAGGAGGGGGGGGTTGTGAGTTGTAACATGTTGTAACATGTTGGAACAAGGGGGAGAGGGGGGTGAAAAAAGTCGGTTTTTTACGTAAAGTAATAAGTGAACGGCCTTTAAGAAAATTAATGAATTACTTAATTTTCAGCACCAAAAGATTTTAAAACATTCATTTCCAATCAATTCTATTCTGTTTACATCAAGTCAGCGTATTACGGAGCAAAAATTTGATCCAATAAAGAAGAAAACTAAGTTTAATTATTAAATTCCTTTGCAAGAAGCTTTAAAGTCATAAATAGACAAACTCAAATGTCTCTTTTCACCTTAGCGCCGCTTAGAAAATATTGAGTTCCATTTACGGTTACAGAAGTGCTACTGTTTGAAGTGTAAACGTGTTTAAAAGCTTGCATCGTGCCATTCTTATGAATATACTTTGTAAGACAGATCTCTTCATTTTATCCGATTCCATTAGAAGCCATAACCATTTATGGGAAATAGAATTCATAGATTTATTCAGAGTGGGAGTAAAACTGCAAATTAGATGCAAACTAAAAGCTCGTATGAAATATCTAATATTTATTTAATTGCATCCATAAATCATGCAATGGAATTATTCATGAATTAATCATTAAACAGTACGGGAATATCGCTACTGAGCATTTTATCGTGCAATATTGGTTTCACACAAACGAGCACATGAAAAATTAGAATAAAGTCTATATTTTATTCACACCATAAAGCTATGGGGATGCACATAGCTTGGAACAAGCTCGATACTTGTTAACCCACTGATATACATATTTACCCGCTGAGATATTCTAGACTTGATTTTTTAATGATCGGTTTTTCTTCTCATTTACAACATTCATCAATGAGGTTTAATGATGTGCTTAATGAGCCTGTTTATTTCTCGGATGAGTTTATAGTAAGAGTAATGAACGTTTGTAGTTTATTGAGTGGGTCTGATAGATAACTAGGTAAATTATTCATCTATATGAAGATGAATTTACCAATCCAGGAGTAAAGCGTCTGTACCCATTGTAGCACTTTCCTTAGTCGAGACAAAAGTTTGATTCCCACCAAATCACAGTTTACAGGACTGACTCAAAAATTATTCAAATTCCAGCCGATTTTACAGGTCAAGTCATCAACATTTTTAATTCCAAAACAGTTTCTTAATTCCTTCACCTCTCCCCAATTAAAAATGCCTTCATTTGCTACAGTTTTGACCGAAAAAAGAACCAACAGAATTCAAAATATCACGAGAATGCGAAGAAAGAGAAAGAAAAGTTAACGGCACCACATCATAACATTAAAAAGAAATATGCAAAAAATATATATAAAGCTTTTAACACGAAACTATAATGAAAAGTAAAAGTAGTTCCAAGATTGGAGGTTGCCCAGTTATGTGTTTAATAATATATATGAGTAATAAATAAATATTTAACACATCGCAAGTGAATTGTTTTAGAGAAGACAATAAACAGCGAAATGTGACAGTGCCTGTTATAGACACTGTTAATTATGGCAAATTATTTGCTAATTTTGAATCTCTTGATGGCGTTGAAAGTTTGATGTGATACCCTTGGTTAAATTTTAGTCAATTTTCTCACATCTACTGTAATTAACACGATTCGCCACAAAAAGTGTCATCAAATCATTTAAAAATCAACCTAAAATTGTTTCAAGGGTGCTACCGATGATTGCAAATATTATGGAAGAGAGATGCTATTTTAAGACTTTTACAGTCCATAAGCGTGTCTTTTCTTTTATAATATTAACTGATTTTGATCAGCTTAAGATAAAATATAGTTTATAGATCTGGCACCTCCTGGAATCAAAGATTGAAGAAGCCGCTATTATATATATTAATAAATTTATTCACCGGTTCCGCAAAATACAAAAAAAAATGAATTTTCATACCCAGACGGCGCCTGAATAAGACAAGACTTGATCCAGTCTGAGCTGTTGGCTATTGGCAGGTCAGATTTGAATTTTGCATTGTCAAAAGAAATTATTTATAGAAGTTCGTACTATTAGTGAGTTATATGGAATTTGAATGGATTCGATTTGGCTTCAAATTTTGTAAGGCTTCTTCATTGACTTAAAATATATATATATATATCGGATTTGTACTCTATAGGATCAAAATGAGGCTTCTGGATAAGAATATGTACTCTATAGGGTGTCCTATGAATTCTATAGAATGTTTTTTACAGTGGCTACTAAAACATGTCGAGCTCATTATTCGATCTACAAATTTGCAGTGTCGCCTTACTTTTTGAGACAAAATAGAAGATTTTTGCCAGTGTTGATACAAATTTGCTTTGCAAAGGCACAACAACGAAGGCAAAGACTTTTGCCTTTGATTTCAAATTGCCTACGCTTAGATCCACCTTTTCAAAGTCAAGTGCTAGGTATTCACACAATCTTGTGTATCTCGAACCATAGTTTGAGTAGCACTGACGAAAAGAGTTGAGATAAACCAAAATATTCTTGAGTTCTACTTGCTACAAATGCCCTACATTCAGAAAAATGCGCCAATACCTCCAAATACCCACAACATCAGAGCATTTAAAACTTTTTAATTCATATTAATCAACTAAAAGTTCAACAAGATGAAATAATAGTATTTTAAAGTCGTATCTTTATGCTTATATAAAACTTATTTTTGCATAAATTTTACTCTAAGGCAAAAGGAAAGCACCAAAAAAAACCTCGATGATGTGTAGCCTTCGACGAAAAAAAAAACTTGAAGCATACTTCTTAATTTTATTAAGTAGATTTATGCATAATATCATACGATCACCAAAAAAAAAATTCGAATATGAATAAAATAAATGAGCATGCAGTTCTTTTGCCAAAAAAAATATATTTAAATATATAATCATCAAGGAAAGTATTCTCATATGAAAAGAAGCCAAATACTTCTGACTACTTTATTTATAATTCCTGCCAACGAGACAAAGCAATAAAAGGCAATCAATTAAGAGATGAATGAATGATCAAATTTGACCATATATCACGTTTCTTAGCTGTTCAAATCTCAAATGCACTTCTTATTCTTGTTTTTTACACCTTTTTTTGGCTTTATGAAGTCACAAAAAATTAATATTCTAAAGTGGACAATCGTGATTCATAAAAGAGATTAAAAACATCTCTTACTATGTATCCATGAATGGACATCTGAATGTGCTCAATCGAAGATTTAATTTTTTGTTTTGGTTTCTTAATGAACTTGAATATGTATATGATGACAAAAAAGAGTTCTTTGTCACAGATCTATACAGATTAGGCTAAAAATAATTTTTAATAAAGAGAATGACGCCAAGCTGGCTAGCGTTAACGTAATATGTGGCTTAAAATTATAAGCTTTTTGATCGTTTAGGTCCGTTTAATTTAATGAGTTTAAATAAGAAAAAGAATTGAATTGTTTGACGCAGAGGTGATATGGATGTGATGTTGACTTAGTTTTGAGTTTGTTTTGCAAGTTGAACCCTTCTTATAGAGTTACCTCATCCAATCCCACCAAAAAATATTTTGTTTATCTTAAAGTTTTTAATCAATTCCAAAAAATATTTTTTACATCCAAAACTCAGTTAAATGACACACGATAATGGCCCAACAAATCTATTATCACGACGCCTTTCACCAAAATCAAATCCAATCCATCAAAAAAGTCGGACACATTAAAAAAAATTTCTCTATCTGTCGCTCTGATCAAATGATCAATTAAACAAAAGTTTCATTTCCTTCGAGAAAAACGCTTTCATACCTAAAAGCTGTCATTTTCTTAAATTAAGACTAAATTGGAAATTTATTTTTGTAGCTTTGATATGATTTGAGAAAATTGTGGTGGCAATTTAAGTTTGTAATTGGTCTTAAAATGCTTTATTTTGGTGTGTTAGAAATTTTTCTCATGTTTAAAGGCACGATTACAGTCAGTTGGCATAAAAATTGATATTTTAGATGTATTCTTAAATTGAACATTCTCGAAAAATTGACTATTGAATTTGAAGCAACTTAAGTCGATTAGCAATTAAATAAACTAAGGTACTCCTGAAAAATTTGGGGAATTATTTTTAGATCCACTCTTGGCAACCTACCCTAAAATCGATAATAATGTGTGAATGTACTACACTTTGGTATATAAATAAAGTTTAACTGTGGCTAAGATCCCGAATGGCACAGTAGGTTAATCAATCTGACATCCAGCACGAAGCCGGTGTGACTGGCATGGTGCTAGATTAAAATCGAAGCCAGCACCATGCCAGATTTCTTTTCGATTGACCGACTTGTGCTTTTGGAGGATAGACCTAAAAACTGGTCTCGGATTTTCACAGCTTAGTCAAACTTTAACTATATGACCTGAAGTGTCTCGATATCATTGAGATTTCGAGCTTTAGTACTAAATAGCTGTTACATCAAGACAGCAATCGAGAGTTCGAAACTCGAGGTTTAAAAGTTTTCGCTTGTTGCTTTTTAATCATTTGCGCTCGAAACGAAGTTTGTAGATTGAAAGCAATAAATTAGGGTGACCATCTGCGTAGTTTTACAACGGACAGTCCTGTATTTCAAAACCCTGTCCTGTATAAATTTGAAAACTTTGTTCCAGGTCCTGTATTTTTTTCACGAAAATTTCCGTTAATTTTCGAATTTTACTCTATGTCCTGTATTTTTCGAAAAAATTTACCAAAAGTCCTGTATTTTCATAAAAATTAGATGGTAGCCCTAGCAATAATGTCATCAAAGGAGTGGTTCAGATCCCATTAAACTATAGGTTTAGTTTCAAGCTAGAAATCTAGCGGATCCTCACTCGTCAAACTACCTATCTAGCTTTAACAACACAAATTTAACCCACAACTATGGACACTTAGCTCCAAAAAAGTCCACAAAACCCACCTCTGTAATGCAAGATGTTATCATCATCATGTCGATTTACGTCAAATGTCTTAATTTAAAGAATTTTTTTTATAATTTTATAGTTTCACGACTCTTTTTACTCGACAATCACGTCTGAACAAGCGTGTGAGAAAAAAAGTTAAATATCAACATATGTACTTAAAATGTAAATCATATGTGCGATAATGTCGTGTAGGACTTTCGAGGTATGAAGTTATAAATATACAATTATACAAAAAAAAAACGTAAACTAGTTACTCTACTCAATTAAAACGGAATGTTGCTCTTCTTTCATGTTTGTTGTATTATCTGTTTCACTCTCGTGCGTCAGAAATGTATCTTGAGCAGCAGCAAGCAATGAACGATTAGTTTCTATTCAGACTGCACATCACTGCTCAGAAGATATAAAAAAAATTGAAGAAATAAAAAAAGAAAAAAAACTGTGGCTCTTTTTATTATTTTCTTCAATAACACGAACCTGATTTTTTTGTAGACTGAAACATAACAGTACACAGTATATATGTACATCCATAGAGAGATTAAATTTTTATATCAGCCAATAAATAAATGCTCAAAAAAATTGTCCATTTACATTTCTTCACTCCTTTAATTTATTTTTATGGATGTGCAATTATTTTAGGTCCTTGATAGGCTCTAAGATAGGTTCTTGGTCTTCCTGGATGTTGATTTTTGTCAAGTAAATAATTTTTTATTTTGTCATTTTTACTCAATAAATAAAATGTGTACAGCCTTAAGACAATTTTCCAACTCCGACACTGATCCACATACATCAAAATAACACAATTTATGCTGCTAATCATGCTAATGTCTTATAAATTCTTCATGACAACACAAAATTAATTTTACTTTCTTTTCTTCCAAGCTATTTCGAGTCTAAGATTTAGGCCACTTATGTAGTAGATTTGAAAAGTGAAATATTTAAGGCTTACCTGCACACAGAAACAGTACAAACTTCCATAATTCCATTATTATATTTTTGTCAATTTTTAATTTCAATAATTTTCGTCTTTTTTCAAATTTTAAATTTTGCAGATCACTTTAAATATTTTTTTTATATCCTTTATTCCAAAAAAAAATATTTTTTTAATATCTTTTATATTTTTCACCGGCTGATTTTTCTCCAGCTCTCAAATTAACATCTTTACGCAACGAGACTAGACGAGAAACTGAATGTGAAGCAATTTAAATTCTTTTATGCAGAAGGCTTTCCTCTTTGATTTTTTTTTACTGTGTTTTGATGTTTCACAATCTTTAGCAATTTATAGCGGTGAGCAAAACTTAAGCTGAGTATGTCTCTCTATCTCTCTCTTTATTCATCAGTTATATGAGTGCATGTTGATGTTTTTTTTTTCATATTTTCTTCTCATCTCAGTGTTTAATCTGTTTGGAGCTTATAAGCTCTTTTAAATGGGTTTCGGACGGAATTTGAATGTTTATTGGAAAGCGGGGGATTCTTTTATCTTTTAGACTTGGATTTTAAGGATCAATTTTAATGAATATTTTAGAAGTTTAAGGATTTTGCTAAATTTAAGGTTTCTTTATCTTCAAACTATCATAAATATAGGTTAAATACCTTTCAAATTCAACTTTACTTACTTTACAATTGCAACTTAACCAAAAATCTCAAGGTCGGGTTATGAAGTTGAAGAATTGATTGTCCAAAGGATGTGGTTCACTAGCGGCAAATTTTTGCCTTTTGTATTCTCAATAGTGAAAGACAGATACCGCAAATTAGTAACTTTGAAGCTTTTTAAAACTAAATTAAGAAAAATTATTAATGATTGAATTGACATTGAAGCATATGAAGTTTTGTCAAATTAGTAATACGACTAATGTTGTTCACTTACTAGTTTTTGATCAACAAATGGCTTTTGTTGCTTAGGGCATTGCTTTGTACTATTATATGCATAAGGGGCCGTTCACTTATGACGTCCAGGGGGGGGGGAGGAGGGGGGTTCAGCAAGAAAAGAAAAATAGAAATTCCTGGAAATCCGTTGTTCTTTTTTGAAAAATGACCGTTAATTTTGGACGTCATAAGTGAACGATCCCTAAGAGCTTTGTATATAAAGTTGGATCAAGTATTGATAAAAATTATTTAAAAAATAGAAAAAAAATTCCATACAAAACTTGTGACAAAAATGGAGAAGGTTCGAAAAATTCAAATTTTGTCGTTACGTAAACAGACCCTAGTCAAATTAAAAATATTGATTCATTAGACAGTTTTATTATGTCACAAAGTTTGAACTTAAAAATGTTGTAATCAAGAGTTCAGAATTCATTTTAAAACCTGTTGAAGCTACAAAAAGGAACAAAGAAGCCTCATTTGCTCAAATGTTCGTTGTAAATGACTCAAATCAAATTGAATAATTTTAAGAAAATTACATATTTTGTGCTGGTGGCTTACTAGTTTTTCAAATAGATGTCAGGGGCATAGCCAAAAAAATTTTGAGAGTGAATCTTGAAAATCTTTTAAATTGAAAAACTTTTGGGAACGTTGTGCATTTTTAATAAAATGAAATCTGGTACGAATCCTTCAAATCCCTTTCTCCAAGGCTAAAAGAGACTCGAAACTTATAGGATGCTTTAACAAACAAAACATGAGCAGTCTCATGAGCTTACTTTTTGCCCTCGCCGTTAATGATGATCAGAATAAATGAAATATTCGATTTGAATAGATTACATTTGAGAGGATTTTGAGACCAAATTCTATGTTCCAAAAATAAAGATTAATAATTTATTTTAAAAAAATGACATTTTCCCAGTTTTTTCGGCACTCACCATTCAATAAAATCCATATAAATCAATGATCAATTTTAGAATCAACTTTGTTTAAATAAGGTAGTCAAAAAATTAATAAATAATTAAAAAAATGAAATATGACAAAATAGAACTTTCTTCAAAGAAAAAAAAATTTATAAAATTATTAATGATATATTAATCCATAAATCGGATGTAAAATTGTTAAACAAAATATAAAAGAATTTAGAAAAAGGTGTTTGCATTAAAACCATCAAAAGCATGCCGAATCGCCAAGAATATTCCTGCCAAATAAATAACTATTAAATCCCCATAAAATTCACACCGCAAAAGTTCATAATGCGCGCGAAAAAAAAAGCAGATTGATAAAATACTTCCGCCAAAATATTTAATTCTTTTGATTCTTTTATATTGCGACACGTTAGATTAAGTAGCGATAGAATCTTCTTTTGTCGGTATATTTAAATCAGAACAAAATGAGAAACACGAATATCTTTATCTGGCTCACGCCTTTGCCCAATATTCATACCGTCTTGTGTTAAACACGAAACAAAATATGCTATAATCGATAATTGTTTGTTTATGGTCTCGTATATCGTTAGCATTATAACTAATGTGTTAAAAGAATTAATAAAAATATTTGTTGTTGAAATAATTTAGATAATGTGTTAATTAATTTATATTTGTTTGTGGCTTTTTATCACAAAACGATTTGTGTATATTGTAAATCATGCGGTTTAATCATAACATTATGGAATTATTAAGCAAACAGTTATTGAATGATAGGAAGTAATTTTCTTGGTAGGATGTAATAATCCATCATTAAATCTAATTATTAATCATATTTATTTGCAGTGTGTTGTTCACTTTTTGAACAGACTCACTTTCCAGAACAGTATTGAAGGATTATAATGTCTTTTAGAATTTATTTTTATTTATTTCTTAAGAAATGATTCTGAGTATGAACTTTGCCACGATAATTCGGAGTTCTATGTATGACTTTTCACATAAGCCCATTCAATTATGTAGCTTTATAGTATTCTTTGTTCTTACTAAGGCTAAGCAAAGTTTTATCATTACAATATAGAATTTGTTCGCAATTTCAATTCAATTTAATTGCCAAAAGGATTCGATTGTGATAATATGAGTAAAAATTCTACAAAAAATCACATTTTATATATGTTTTGTTAACAGTTTTGAAGATAAGATATTGAAGCTTTCTGGGAGGTCTGAATTAGAAATTCAAACCAATATAATACTCAGTCCGATTACCGTAATCTAAAGTATGTTGACAACATACTCTATTAAACAAAAGTGAGATCGTACTTTTGAAGCTGTTGACATAGACAGTATTATACTTGGTATTGTTAAATGGCAAACGATAGCCTGCTATAGAGCCAGCTTCAGGCGCCATCTAAGAGAAGTCATGGATCACATTTGATCTGTTTGGCCAGAGAAGTAAAGAAAGTAAGAGATCTTTCTAGTAGGATTCGAACCCAAGTAAACTCAAGAGAAAGCTGCAGATTTTCCTCATAATCCCGATCAAATTGACCATAAATGAGTTCATCTCAAATTAGCAGATTCACTCTTATAGATTGAGACCACAGAAACTTCCTTAATCCAAACAGGTGGTATATTCTAGTACTTTAGAGACACAAACTCATAAAGCCCTAGTATCCTTAACGGCGTGAATAAAAAATACGGTAAAATCCAAAAGAATTCCCAAATTCTATTTTAAAATAGAAATACAGTAAAAAAAATTAAATCCCTCGGATTTTGAACTTCAACGCGGCGGTCTTTCTCAATCAGGTGATTTTTCTGGATATTAATATCAAAGAGACGCCATTCAGTGACAGTAAAAAAGGTGAATTTTCCTTTTCGATCTCGTTAAGTATGAAATTCCTTCTGAATTACGTTGCGGCGTGCCAAAAGAATTCGCAGTCCGAAAAAAAGCTATTAGTCCAAGAATTTTTGATGCATTTTTATTTATGCATTGACGCCAAAAGCTTTATATAATTATAAATGTTCATAAATTTTTAGTTTAATCTGTACTTTAACATCTTGTTTTTTCAGCACTGCGCTGACATCAATGGAATATATAAAATCGTTAAACCGCATTTCATTCCTTTTCATTTTTCCATTTAGGAATAGATTTGTATTTTATTGCATGTTGTTATCATAATCATTTTCACGCTCTCTTCTCCTCTGTCGGCAGAGATTTGTTCAACTAAGTTTAGTTTATTATCTGTTGATTCATTCCGAAAGATTTTTTCAATATAGCTTTCCGGTAATCCATTGAGTAAGAATAGAAGTGTATTTTAGCGATTAAGGGTGGTCAGCTTTATAGATTGATAGCTGCGAACCCAAAATTTCTAGTGTACAAGGAATATAGTGGACCTTAGCAGAAAAACTAGGTAAATCAATTGTTTTAAAAGAAACTAATTTGAGCATGATTTAATAACATTAATTGAGGCATTGGTTGACTCAAGCTTAAATCAGAGGCTGATCTAATAACAAGTGCATCCTTTCCTATGGTCTACAATCAAGCTAGAAGTGATAAGGTATTCATCAAATCATTTCATCAAAACTGCTTCCTTAGCTCAGCCTTTATTAAGCAATGTCGAATCTAATTCAACTCCATGACTTCTGAATGGCTCCTACACGGATCCGTCTCCTTAATATGATTAATTCGACCATCGTCGAACATCTTGCGACTCCCCTAAATACTTCTCTGCCTTAAAGAAGATACTTCATGAATGAGACGACAGAACATAAAATAACAGCTCTCGAAGGTGTTTAATCTGCTTTTGTTTAGTCTCTTTTTTTCTCCTCTGATTGTGCCGCAACTAAATATTTTTTATTGCAAATTGATCTATAAAATTACATTTTATTTATAAATTGATTTTAAAAATAAATACATTAGCATTTGATCCCACATGGTTAGGTATGAAATATAGCTTGGAACAGCATTCGGCACATTCATTATGGATATTAAGCTTACATTCGAACAAGTTGACATTGTTGGCTACCGAATGGTTTGCCATTTGAGCATTTTTTTTTGTGATTCTAGTTTAGTTTTGATTTGTGGCTTGAAAATCTTCATAAATGGAAGAGTCATGAGTAATCGAAAGTTTCATCATCAAGATTTAACTATTTATATCCTTACGATTTGTTAAATATAGAATTTTTGTTACTCTAAAGCTTGTTGATCACATTCTTTTATTGATTCAGTAGAACAAAGTCACAGTATGGATTTTTCATGAGGTTTATAGTTCCAAAAATACATATTAATTAACAATATGACACAAAAAAATTGTAATTATCACACAACATATTGATTATTTAATTATTTATTGAATAATTCATTGCTTGGTCGAATTTTTGAATTATTTACATCACTATGTCGTACCTGAGAATTGCTGTCAGCACGAAAAACATTACTTGAACATTTTTAATCCAATTTAATCATGAATGTAAATGCGAATCGTTCTAAAGATGTGAGATAATGGAAATTTTCACCATTGCGTAGCTCACGGGAATACATCTTTGTGTGAATTTTATTCATGTTCTTTTTAATTAGTAAATCGTACCGAATTCTCATGCTCACGAAATTTTCCTCATTCGCAGCTATATCAGGTGAAATTCGGTTGAATATAGAGTACATGTGTACTAAAATAAGGTCATTATTTTCTAAATTATGCGAATCGATACGTGAATGAGATTTTTTTTTTGAACTTTATAATTCAATTTATTATTCTAATCTTGTAATTCAGAGAATTTAATATTGGATTCCATTAGTGCATAATTGTGGTGTCTGAGTAAGCTCGAATCTGGGGTATCGAGCCATATGTTGGCAAATCTGCCATATAGAAAGTATGATCTTTATTACCAAGTGGTAAAGCATCAGACCAGAAATCATTAACATTATTTTGTGAAGTCTTAGGTTCGATTCTGATCTTTCAATCTATTCAAAGAGTGTTGTCGATATGACAAGTATTCGCACAATGCTCACGATATTCTTTACAATAATGTACATATTTTGTAGTTTACTACTTTGCGACATGGATTATAATAGATATTCGCAAACTCACTAGGTTCCCGAAAGAGTGAAATAACATTGTATTTTTAAATTAATACTAAACAGTAAAGTAATTTTGTCACCAAAATCTCCCCCCAGGGTCCGCGAAAGGACAATGATTCTCAATTTTTATGGCATAAATATATAAAAAAATTAAAGGCATATCACACAATTCTAAAGTTTAAAAGTATCATTAGAGATCTTCTAGATACTGAAGGTCCTCGATGACATTAGATGCTAAGTTCCAGAAAAAAATCCTGTTCAAATCGAATATACTCGAATCGAATTATTTACTTTTTGTATGAAATATATTTGCACATTGCTAAGTATTGCGTTTGTCTATAATATGTTTGAAAGTTTAAGCCAGACATAAAACTAATTGCATTATTTTTTAATCAGATTCCTTTTCCTCTTTCCAGTTATAGATCTTTTTTAATTCTACAAAGTCATCATAATAACTAGCAATATAAAATTCATATATTTCCATCCATCCACAACATAATCATGTGCTGCTCAGTATAATTTCAATTTAATTAGATCATCGAAAAACCATGAAAAATGTAAATTTTAAAAACAAAATGCTTTATCGACAGTTTACATTTTTCTAATGTTTGTATTAGAACTTTGAGAGATTTTACATAAACACATGACTTTAGACTTCATCACAAACACAAACCAGAAACTTTTTATTTTAAAATGTAAAAAGTTTCCAAAAAAAATTATTAATTAAGTAAATATTTTCAAAATCTACTCATGAAAAGAGAGAGAGAAAGAGTAAAAAATTCCGAGAAGATCTATTAATAATCATTTTTCTTTATATAGCATTTATGAAAAGATTTTCGTAGCAAACGAACTATTCGAAAATGACTTAAAGTCTTCCCCCCAAAAACACAAAATTGAGATTTTTTTGACTTTTCAGCCCATTGTGACACTTGTTTGTTCGGTCGTGCGGAGGCGAGCGTTCTACGTTATTCTTTTTGTAAAGAAGATCGATGTAAAGAAGAAAAAGAGAAGAAATAAAAAAATATATGTGCCTGTTAGTGATTTTTTTTTAGTCTAAGTTCTGAGTTGAAGACGTGAGTTTCAAAAGTGAAGCTATTGCTGTTATTTTAAATTCTCTCTCATATTTTTCTCGTTCTTACAGTGAATATATAAAAAAATATTTGTTTGACTTCTTTAATCAGTAAACAGTTGTGGATCAGTGATATCGCGTGCAAAAAATAAAATATAAACAACAAAATTCCACGATGGCAAACGAGATTGTTGATAGAGTAATAAAATTAAGAATTTTTCACTTTAGTTATATAATAAAATTTATAACAGATTGCATCGTAAAGGATTATTGCAGTTCAGTTTTGAGACATATAAAATAATGCTTGACTGTTTATTAATGTGCTGAATATAGAATGATATATTTATAACAGATGAACTAAATTTAGATGATGAAACACGATTTCAAGTTTAAATTAGTGAAATGAGAAATGTTTTTATAATCATGGAAACGTTGGAAGCATGTTTGTGGATGAGAAATTTTTTATCTTCACCTGAATGATCTTTACTTCCTCCCATCAAATGTGTCTTGTGTCTTTTGGCATTTAAAATTATCAAATGTGGACGATCAGGTTTCAATGTCCAAAATAGTCAAGTTCTAATACAGAAATACTTTGCAAGTATAAAAGTTATTGAGTATGCAGCTTCAAAGCGCATTTTTCGTTAATATTGAAAAATAACAGAAGTGTAGTTGAGTGGAAGGCATGATTTTTGAGGCTGACGCCGAGACTGCAACTGAGTTTGGTCTTGCTATTGGGAAAGCAAAGATCAAGGGAGGAAATAAAAATTTTACACAGTTGTCTGACCCCTTAAAGAAGGGATCCCTTCCCTGATTCTTACTCAAAGAAAGTTTCTAATCCTGGCACATCTAATGCAGTATATTAATGCTTTGAGTGATTAAGCACAACTGAGCCCGAATAGCACAAGTCGGATATTAGAATAGAAATTTGGAGCCAATCCGGCATGATTCTAACTTATTTAAATTCAGCACCATGTCAGTTTCGGGAAGGTTAACACTATTTCATACATTGTAGTAAGGCACGAATATAGCTGAGAAACTGACTCATTGGTCTTAATTAACGATCGAACAGACCAGGTGCGTAGCCAGGATGGTCTTGTCCCCCTCTTAAGCGTTTTAGGCCATGCTCTCGCTGCGGTTCAAAACGTTTAAGGAGAGGCAAGACCCTCCTGGCTACGCGTCTGGAACAGACATAAAAACTTGTACTTATGAAGAACCTCATATCACCGGAAACATCCAAAAGCAACAATTTAATCTTCAAATCGCCAAAATCCTACTTTACAAAAATACTATTTTGTTAATGCATCACAAGCTGAACTAAAAATGTTTTGTATAAGAATGCGTTTGCATTCCAATTTTATCGTGCTTCCGTAATTCTCATTTTTGCATTCAATTCGGTGCTAATGAATTTTGTTACAAGCCAAGAGCGAGAGAAGAAAAAAAAACAGAAAGAAGAAAAAGGAAAAACTTAACTGATTTTAAGAGCATATCGTCATTCGTCTATTAAAATAAAATCACTCACTGCAACAAGTGAATCATTGACTATTCACACGGAGGTTTTTTTTTTCCTCTGACGTGCTTTGCAGTCGGGAAATTTCTATGCGCTTAATGAGTTGGAATTGTGATTAAAGAAGTGGATTAAAAATATTTAATTTATAATTCTTTGTTTCATCTACCTTAATTGAGGATTTAAGGGGGTCTGCTGACGAAATTTTTACTATGTCTATTTTTAAATTTGGATTTACTTTTCTTTGTTTTCAAAAAAAAATTTTAATGGAAAAAATAAGAACAAATTTTTCAACACGCGCTTCTTAATTAAAAATTGTGCAGCTTCATATTAATGTTTTCCCTTCCGTTCTTGACAGACTTATGGATGTGATTATCAGTTCAAAGAACCCATTTAGTAAAGAATCGTAATGTTTTGTATAAAGAGACGTGTCTGGAATGTTTTAAAAATTTTATTGATTTCTTCAAATGATGGGTAATATGGGGTTCAACCCTCCTGCTTTATAGCTGATTTGAATTCTTAACTACATTCAAAAAGTTCGACAGAGATCAAATTTCAACCAGACAAAGCTACAGCCAGACATCAGTTGATAAGACTAATAAACAGACACCAAGATATCTATATAAAAGTCTAGGCTAGTTTTGATGACTAGTAGGTATTTAATAGTCTAGAACAGATTAATTTTCGATGCCAAACTGAATTTGTTGTTGGAACATTCTGAGTTGTTATGGTACTTAAATCCATTGCGCTTTTTAATCAGTGAAAAGCCATGCAGCTTTTAAAAATATCTGACCGGTATAAGCTCATGACTATACTACACCACCTAACATCCACATCCCACATAAATTCATTTGCTACCTCTTTTTCTAGATATTTACAGCAAGTGACTCATTATCACAAAAACTTCTTTCTATTTACGGAAATGTCTCCTACATTGGCTATTTGAAGCACTACACTATCTTTTCACGTATCTCTTGTTTATGTATACAGCTAGATTGCCTATAAATGTTCAGTATCATAATGAATGTCAGCTACTGCTGATAAATCATTAATCTAAAATCAATAATGCTCAATGAGATGTTTCGGATCTCTTCTCAAAGTTGTTGAATTATTCATTATAAAAAAAGTATTTGGAATTGGCTATTCTCATGGATTTATCGATCTTAGTAACCAAGAGAAGTGATTCTAGATGCTCAGAGGAACTGTTTTTTGTGTGACAATTTATTGAATCGTTTTTTGATGGTGATTTTTTTTTGGAGAATTTATGTTTGGAAGCTTGAGATTAGATGGTGAAATTCTTTGGAATGACGCTTGATTCTAATTTGATTTTAGATAAATGTCATAAGCTTGATTTCAAAATGGATATATATCAAGCCTTATGCTACATCCCCAACTCTTACCTATTACTAAATTTGAAGTAAAAAGATAATCAGCACACCTTAAACCAAGAAATTATCTGAATTTACTTTAAGAAATTAATTAATCCAATGTAAAATAAAAGAACATCTCTAGCATCCGCCTCATTAAAAACTCTACAACGGATCTAGTATTGATTACAGTTGCATACAATACTTTGACTTTTATAGCATGAAAAAAATGTGCAACAATCGTGTACTGCATACTATGTTATTTTATGTCTTAAACAAAAGTCGTCTTAGTATCGAAAAAGTTTCCCTGAGCATTTTGTGTAGCTTCACAAGAACTATCTCGTCGTGCTTACGACAAAAGTGTAATGAAAATGTGAACATGCATGTTGAAAATGTAGCTCCTTTTCAGCTAAAAAAATACTTTTTTGATGTCTGACTTAAACAGAAAAAGTTCAAGGCTAAACATGCATACATGATTTTGAAAATAATTACATGTCTTGTGAATCATTAGTATTCAGCAAGCGATTCTTTCATTTGGCAATAAGGCGCTGAAAGTAAATGCTCATAAATTTGTCGATATTTTTTGCATTTACAAAATCGAGTTTATTGTCCGTCCGTAGACGTTATTTAGTTTTGGCTATTAAATTTCAATTAAAAATTCATAATAAATTTTTTTACATGACATAATATAAACTTGAGCCGTCAATTAATCATACGTAGAAATGTTTTTTAAGTTCAGTAGGAACAGCTACTTAAATTTAATTTCGTTCATTGCAAAATTGTTTTGCTCTCAGTCATAAAATGAAATGTGACGCGAATATCAAGCCCGAGTAGCACAAAAGTAAATTGACGTCTATAAGTTGACATTGTAATAAAACTTGGTCTTAGAATGAAGTTAGCTTCTTGGGAAGAACTCTAGATGGAAACTTACGACTATTCTACATGATTAGACCATATTTTTTTCATAGATTAGGGTACAATAAGAACTGACTCCTAATTATCCTCAAAACAACCTAGTCCAATTTCAACTTATATCTTGACATCACCAAAAGCATGTCATGTGCCGCTCGGGTAACAATTTCACAAAAACGTTTATTTAATTTACAAAACTCAACTGAAAAAGCTTTCATTCCTTATCAGCATTGCCTAATGTCATAAATTTAATCAAATTGTTTGACATAATTTAATTTCAGTTTGATCGTGATGGATATATGGTCTTTGAGGATTTTTACAGCCCGGAGGAAGTTGATGAAATGCGCAAGGCTGGACGTGCTTTTCCATTTCAAGCACCCAAAGAGGATCGTTGCTCATTTCAGAATCAGGTATGTATTTTTTTGAGATAGTTTGAGGCAATGCCATTAATTCTTTCATATCTTGTTAGTCAACGGATCAATATTTCATAGAATCTGGAGATAAAATTCGTTTCTTTTTTGAGAAAAACGCTATTGGACCAAATAACGAATTGTTGGTTCCTGAAGAACATTCTTTAAATAAAGTCGGACATTCTCTACATGTTGACCATCCAGTCTTTAGAAAATATACTTTTGACAATAGAATTAGAGAATTGTGCTGGCAATTAGGACTTCAAAGGCCAGCTGTAGCACAAAGCATGTACATGTAAGTATCATGAAGTCATTGAACTTATAAAATCGATACTAAATCCTTAAAAATTCTTCTCAAAGGTTTAAAAATCCAGGCATCGGTGACGAAGTAGCATCTCATCAAGATGGAAGTTATCTCCACACAGAGCCATCATCAGTCATTGGTTTCTGGATTGCACTCGAAGATGCAACATTGGAAAATGGATGCTTAAAGTTCATCCGAGCATCACATAAGAATGGAATTCATCGTAGATTCATTCGCAATCCTGACCAGAGTTCATCGGAACTTTTGATTTACGATAAGCCTGCCCCAATTTATCAGTTATCAAATTTCACAACAGTTCCAGTCAAAAAAGGTAAGATGATTAATTTTAAATGATAAAATTGTTAGAATGGAATGAAACTTTGAGGACTTTTCAAGGGGATAACAACATTATGAGAAAAAATTTGGAAAAAATATCCAAAAAAATTTTAATTAGTAATGAAGGAAAACTGGTGAAAAATGTATTATTGAAATATTTTCCAAACATGTTGTTATCCCCTTGGAATATTCTCAAGACAATTTAAAAAACACCTCAAGGCTAGTAAACTTTTTATGCCATTTAGCTCCCAAAATTTTTTGAAGACATTCTTTAACAAGCATTTTAAGGCTGCAATGCAATTTAAAAAGGACCGCAAAATATTTCAATTAATTTAATTCAATTTCCTTCCTCTTTAAATCTTTCGACAAACAGGAACATTAGTCATAATTCACTCTCAGGCTGTTCATCGCAGTGAAACAAACAAATCCAAAAAGTCTCGTGATGCTTACACGTTCCACGTTATAGAAACAAGAGGAACACGATATGCTAGTGACAACTGGTTACAGCCACCAGAATCTTTCCCAGTTCTCTACGAACGTTAAATTTTATTTTTTATTTCTTTCAATTTTTTAGCATAATGGGATCATTTGTTCAGGCAACCTTATACAAAAAGACTTGAAATTATTTTCTTTTTATTGTTTTCTTTATGATGCACATGTTTATGAAAATTGCAAGATATATAGATGTGCTCATACAAAAATATCGCAGTTTTTAAACGTCAAAAATTTGAATTTTCTAAAAACACTAACACTATAAAAGAAAATTTTCAATTTTTGTTTTGCAAAATTTTCAACTTTCTGTTAAGTTTTGTTGATACAGGAGTATTGCAAATGCTTTGCTATAATTAAAAGTAACTGGCTAAAGTCAAATGTTGTTGCATCTGTCGATATTTAAATGAAAACTTGAAAATAGAAAATTTTAAAAAATTTTGTTTGTATAAGTACACAAAAAATAGTATGGTCGAGTATGGTCAAGTATACTCTGTATGAGCCCAACTATAGATTTTGGAAAATTGTTATGCATATTTTTTATGTTGATTACTTCTTCGAACAATCGATTCTATTTTAAAATTGCTCAATTCTACATCAATAAGGATTTTTTATCGGATGTAATTTATAACCTCGTTTTCAGTCAATTTAAAAATGTAATGCATAAATCAAAAAAAGATGATTTTTATGAGTAATAAAAGATATATCCACGTGGGGGTGTTTAGTAAATGACGTCTATCAATAAGAGGAAGCTTGTGATCTGGGATATAGGCTGAGGGATAACCTATGAAATGTAAACTAAGGTTAGATTTAAACAAAGTTAACTATACTAGAAGTAGCACAATAGTATACACTCAAGGTATTTCCTTGACCAAGTACTCATCCCTAGTATATAGAAACATCAAGCTTAAATTGCAAATTCCCCACCTCCTTTAAAATTATTGACGTCACTTTTAAATAACCCCACAATTAGGATAGTTATGTGCCAATTTCATATCTCTAATTTCAAGTTCACTTAAAAATCTTAAAAATTACAAAGAAAAGTTATTAAAGTCTTAAAAAAATGCCATAAAAAAACTTATCTAATCAGACATTCTCGGTTTTTTACTTGAAAATATATTTTATAATTCTCGAATAAAGTTTATTATTCTGCTTATACGAAAAACTTTTTTTGTTTTAATTAGTACACATAAAGTGTGATGAGAACATTGTACGGTTGTGCTTTACATTTTATGTAGGAAAATCTAAAACCACTAATATCATGGTTTTGTTATATACAAATTTCACTAGGAGAACATGAATACTGGCTCTATAAATGTGAGAATGAATGCTTCTTTCACTTTAAATGCCTAACCACTGAGTAATTACACCACTCTCAATTTCACCTATGCAGATTTAATTTATAAGACCAGGATTTTTAAGTTAATTTATAATTTGTTGCTTTATTTTTCTTTTGAAGTTCAATATTCTTTCTTTAAAGTATCGAAAGATGAATAATACAAGTCAAACAGGAATGAGAATCTAACTTTGACTTCCTTTGACTGTCCTTAACTCAAAATTGAACATAATTAAAAGCTTGACTTTCAACTTTGAAAGTTCTCTAGCTATACCTAAACTTTCATTTCTTTCAGGAATATTTACCCGTGTAGCTTCTAATCTCATCGCATTTTCATTTTCCATTTTGATTGATGTCATCATATCTAATTGAATTTGCAGAAAAACTTTTTAAAACATCTGTATCTGTCAACAATGCAATTTGATATCTATGACAAAACAATGAATCATACATCCTCGAATCAAGGTTTCATTGAGAAATATGATGCATAATCTTCGATAATAGCAGATATGTGATGGAAGAAATAGCAATTCCAGGTATTGTTGAGTTTAAACCTGATTATAATGTTGTTTAGATTGTTCTGGGAATATAAAGTAGGTATCGATAGGCAAGATTTTGTATGAAAAGCTTGATTTTATAATAAAGACTTAATCTGATAAGAAATGAGTTGACTGAAAAGAATAGACAAGATTTGATAGAATAGACTAGATTTGATAGAATAGACTAGATTTGATAGAATAGACTAGATTTGATAGAATAGACTAGATTTGATAGAATAGACTAGATTTGATAGAATAGACTAGATTTGATAGAATAGACTAGATTTGATAGAATAGACTAGATTTGATAGAATAGACTAGATTTGATAGAATAGACTAGATTTGATAGAATAGACTAGATTTGATAGAATAGACTAGATTTGATAGAATAGACTAGATTTGATAGAATAGACTAGATTTGATAGAATAGACTAGATTTGATAGAATAGACTAGATTTGATAGAATAGACTAGATTTGATAGAATAGACTAGATTTGATAGAATAGACTAGATTTGATAGAATAGACTAGATTTGATAGAATAGACTAGATTTGATAGAATAGACTAGATTTGATAGAATAGACTAGATTTGATAGAATAGACTAGATTTGATAGAATAGACTAGATTTGATAGAATAGACTAGATTTGATAGAATAGACTAGATTTGATAAAATAGACTAGATTTTAAAGATGGAAAAAAAATAGAATTGATAGGATGGACTAGTTTTTAAATAAGGAACTAGATTCGACAGAATTGAATAGATTTGATAGAATGGACTAGATTAAATAATATGTACTAGATTTGAAAGAGGAGACTATATTTGATAGGAAAAGCTAGGATTAAAAGGACTAGATTTGAAAGGAAAGAATAGATTTAATAGGATGAACTTGATTTAATAGAATGAATTTTGCAAAAAATGATGTTTGACATCAATAGCTCAGTAAGAAAAGCTGCTGGTAAATTGTTCGCATGACCAAAAAACAGAAAACGTGAGTTCGAATCCCACTTGAATTTTATTTTTCAGAATTTACATCTTTTTCATTTAAATCAATAATTATTCACTGAATTCGCCAAAACTCGCATAAATCATCTTAACCACAAAAAAAAAATCCCAAGATTCCTTAAAATCTCCGATGACCAAAAAAATATCCACACTAACTTCATACTAGTCTTAAATTAAAGAAATCAAATAAGCATCAATTTTTAACGCACATTGTTCATCCACAACGATGAAAATTTAATCAATAACAACAATCGACCCAATATTACACCCCCACAAAACTTTATCGCGTTTGCTGTTCATAGTGAAAAAAAAAAAGAATTTTTTTCAAGATAATCTCAACATCAAAAGTAATCAACAAATAATATAATGAGATGTTTATGACGTTGAGAAGAAAAAAAAATTATGAAAAATTGAACAATATCATGAAAACCGTCTTTCAGAATCTATGGATATCTCTTATCAATTACTTCTCTCATTTATATATACTGGAAAAATGAGCAATCATGCGCAATGTCAATCAAGCTCTTTCATTCCAATGAGCTTCTCAGATGCAAATATGAGAGAGAAATAAACATTAATGCCGCTCCAACGATAGCACTAAAATGTCATATGCTTCTTGTCTACAACAAATAAGAAAAATTGTTTTGGCATGAAAATGTCATGTAAATTGTGAAATATACAACAAGTTCTGAACCCGTACAAAATAATTCTTTTACACGAATATTGTGCATGTAAATAGAATTTTTATTGCTCAACAGTAAATTGATACTTAATTGCTATTGGCAATTATGGACGTATTATCAACAGCTTACATATCTAATTATTTTACAATTAACACTTTAATTACTATTTAAACTTTTCCAGTCTATTAGCTTTTTAATATTGATAGAAGACTGTTGAATTATATGCCTAGTCATGAAAGCTGATGCTTCTGTGATTAATGATTTTAATGATGGTGCAGGAAGTATTTGATTTTGAATTTAAAATCGTTAATTTTTAACGCATTTTCATTCAGGGAATTCTATAAAGAGCTTTAGATGTTATTTAGTCACCTTTTAGCTTTGGCTTTGTATGCTTCAATGCCTCAGATTCCATTATGCCACAACAACAATTTAAGAACTTTCACCAACTTGTAGCTTTTTTGGCAACCTATAAAGCTAGTTTATTTTATTATACGAATATCCGTTTGAATTCAATGCCACAACAAAGCATTGATATTGTACATAAAGCAACAGCATAAAAGCTATTCAAAGAACTTTACTCTTATACATTTTTCACTATTAAAGACTAACAAAATCATAATCAAAACTTTAACAGATTTTTAACACTTTAGAATATCCCTTTCGTCTTTATTTCTAAGCATATTTAAAGTTTGAGAGCTAAAACTTTTCATTCAATTCTTTGTCATGAAAGTTTTATAGAAAATCTTCGTGCGAAAAACGGAAGCACGCTGTTTTGTATATTGAAGTGGATGCTTTTATCGGATAAATCTAAGTTTAATTAAAAGTACAGTCGTGAAACTTTAAAACTTAAAGTAAATATTTATGAACTTGTTTAGATGTGGTTGATGGAGTTGTTGAATTAAATCAAGGACATCAATACCAGAGATGTGAAACAGCAAGTACCAGCATGATATTAAACTTGGTATAGTGGCACTGCTGGCTGTCGTTTTATTGTGGATAATTCAAATTGATTAAACTCTATGAAATGGCAGATTGGTTTCTATGTGCAATCAAATCAATGGTTTAATATGTCTATTGACGACATGGTCATAGAGGCTGACAAAATCAAAGACAAAGCTTTTTGTTTTGAACATACTCTGATGGAGCATATTGCCAGGATACTTATTGAAGCTTAATTTTATGTGTAGATGGCAAAAGATTACGTTGTAACTTGAAAAGAAACCGTAGAGAGTAACTCTTCGTATAGATAGTAGTTCACTAAGAATTGGTTATTATTTGGACACAAGGAATACTAATTATTAAATAATAGCTGGTGATAGCTACCGAATAAGGCTTCATTTATTGGAGAAAACTGATCACACTTGATCATTATGATCAAAAATATAAGTAAGTAATTAAGTTCTGGTTACATATTATCCATTGTTATTTGGAGATGGTGAGATTGAACAGGAAAAGAACTCTGGAGTACTCTGCAGGAGAGTCTGTAATATTTGATCATTTAAAGGTAGGCTGACCATCTGCTTTGTTTTTCAGAGGACAGTCCTCAATTTTTTCATTTTTCAAAAATTAAAAAGTTTTGTTTTGTTTAAATTCGTCCAGAAAACGAATAAAATTGGTAGACACGTGGGATGTCCTCTATTTTACTTTCAGGTTCTCTATTTTTTCAAAAAAAATCTTGTCACCCTCTATATAGGTAAATCTGCAACTGCGAGAATAAAGTCAAATTGAACGATTGGTTTGACAACAGACCAATATCTGTGAAAATCGATAGAATGGGTTCAAATCCTTCTAGATTCTAATATACTAATTATTTCATAGTATTGTCCATATGACAATGATTTGTACAATGCTCACGACTTTAAACATCTCATTTAAGAATCAGCATTAATTTCCATTAAGTAATTCAAACATAAATCAATAATTATTTAATACCTTAAAAGTAATAAACAACATATTCACAATTTTATCTTTGTATGCTGATTAATTAAAAATTTCTCATTCATTTCCATACAATCAACACAATATTATGCCATAAACATACATTTTGTGTATATCCGATTACAATTTAATTATTCCCTTTACAATCTATCATTCAATGTAAACTCCAAAGGACTGGCAGTGGTTAAAAAAAGTATTTGGCACATTCACATATCCATGTCATTTTTCATTTCACATTTACTTAACTTAGAAATAACACAACAAAAAAGTGACACAAACATTTTTTTATAATTTTTGATACAATTCCAAACACACAAAACCATGCGTGCCTTTCTATTTACTTGCTCTCTCCGCAACATTTCCATGTAATTCTCAGGTTGGAGAGAAATGAAAAACTACTTAGTCATGGAAATTTTTCTTTTTTTTCCATTCCCTTTTTTTCTCAATAAAAACGAAAATGTACTGTCAGTATTAAAAGAATCCTTCGCTGGTTATGAGGTGTATGGTTTTTACACTCGCCTCATCAAATATTGCTTCAAAATGGCGTACACTTAGGTTTTTTGTGAAAGTTTAAAAAAGAAAGTCACTTTAACATTAAATTTGAGAATTTTATTCATTCAATTCAGAATCCTTAACAAGTTAAATAAATTCCTTATTGATTATCGCGTATATTAATACTTAAAAATTTATGTGAAGTTTAGTAAAAATAAAGTTTTAAAAAAATTAAGAATTAATTAAATGTAAAGTGTCGAAAAAGAGAAAGAAAAAAAATTATTTGGACGGAAAAACTTTTTCAACAAGTAACAAAAAAATCATCATACAAAAAATTCATAAAATAAAATAGAGCAGACGGGCATGTAAGAACAAGTTAAGCTTGTAAAGTTTATATTTATGTTGCATTGTTTATGAGAAAAAAATTTAAGTTTTTCTAATAAATTTTTCATGAATTGAAAAGTTTTCGGAAATTTTTCTCATAAATTATGATTCTATTGTTGAGTTTATATTGTGGAGTTTTGATGTGTCTGGAAGTTTTAAATGGAGTCAGGTTGACCTCATTGGTTGAGTAAGATTCATCTTCTATCTAATTAAACCTAATTTTAACCAGTGTTCTTAAAAATGTCTGATTAGAATGAGATAGAAATGTAGCTATGATGCATATTATATTTACGACTCTAGTCTTCTATTAAAGTTTGTGGTCTTCTTTTTACGGCTCGAGTATTTTTTATTCCTTGCTAGTTTTCTATAATGGATTAAGTCTACTTTATACGTCCCTAATCCTTCTATATACGTCCTTAGTATTCTATTTGTATTACTGGTCATCTATAAATGTCCTTAGTTCTCTAAACACGATTAGAGTCTTTCATATACGTTCCTGGACTTCTATGTACGTCTTTCTTCTTTTAAAAACATCGATAGTTTCTTTTTTATATGTTGTAAACTTCAATATTCGCTTCTAGTCTTCCATAGTTTCCCTTACTCTTCTATATACGTCACTAACCCTGTAGATTCCCCATAAAATTTCAATCTTACTCAATTTATCAAAAATATTACATTTTTTACACATCACTAGCTTTATTTTTTCATACATATATGAATTTCGATTCAATTACCTCTTCAACAGGTTACCTATTGATTTGTTCAAAAAAAATACGACAGATAACTTTCTGTATTGTTCCTCAACATTTATTGATGAAAAGATCTCACAATTCATTTTTCAAATTTCAAAAGAGAAATTTAATCAATCAGGAATTGAATGGATCTTTTATTATAAAAAATGTCAGAGTATATTTTTGTGTCTGTCCACAAGAAGAGCCTTGACAAATAAACAATTTTGACACCCAAACATTAATAAGTAATGCGATGAAGCATTTGTGACATTGCTTATAATTTTATGATCAAAATAGACATATATTGATGGATAATTGATTGAGTGTAAGCGTAATTACTAATAGTAATCGGATTACATTTTTATACTCTAATTGCACGGAAGAAGCAAAACGAAAAAAAGTTCATTAATAAGTTTAATCGAGAAAAAAAAACATTTTTTGAAGCCTACAATAATTAAGGAAAATGACAAGATAAAAATTTAATTTTATTGAAAGACGAAAAAAAAAGTTCAGAGAGGAAAAAAAATTGGAAAATGTGTAGGTTGAAATGTTAGATGAGGTTAAGAAAGGAATTATTCTATGTGAGAGAATTGTGCTGTTCTGTTCTCTAATTCTCTCATTTCCAATTTACGCACATCCTTCCAATAGTTTTTTTTTTATTCATTCCCTTCCTTTTCTCCTACTAGAACAAATAAATTGAGATTTTATCGTGGACTTGTTGAACATTTTGGCAAAAGTGCAACACTTTCTTTCATTCATAGTTTCGAGTCAATGATGATTGTGTAAAAAGTAGTTTTTGAGGATTTGCCAACGTTTTGTGTTTCATATAAAGTGGGTTTTAAATTAAATTTTAATTGGATTGAGCAGTATTATCATTAGGATTCCAACACATTTGCAACAAGAATGTAAGTCATTGCAAATAAATTAGCTTGTGTGAGGAAGAATTAAGGACAATTTTATTTCTGTGTAATGTCTTTAAATGCGGGTTTGAAGTTCTTAGGGAAAATAAGAAAGTACTTAGATGCTTATAGTTGTGACATACTAAGATTTAACATTACAATATTCATAAGAAAATCAACTAAGATTAAAATAAGAATCTTTCATAAATAGTATATCCAACTAAATAGTATATTACACTTTTCAAGACCATTTTTGAACCCTATATTAGGGATAGATATCTGAATTAATTCTGTAGTTCAACTTGAGTTCAACCTTATAAACAAAAATCATTCTCAACGTTCTTAAAGTAATCTCGTTTTTCTCAGAGTTGCGATCTGTCACAGGCAATCACTTGTCACTTAATAAGGCAGTGCCTGTGACAGGCAATATTTTTTTTTGCCTATCACTTGCACAGATCTGTCACAGATTAATTGAATCTGTCCACAGATATAACAGATCTGTGACATTCGACCTGTATCGCAACTCTGGTTTATCTTAAATTTGTTATGGAATTTGAAATTATGCTTATATACCTGGAAACTGTTACTTAGAAGAAGATTGCAAAGATTTGAGACTCAGTAGGGTAGTTTGAAGCTAGTTTAATATAATAATTTTCACTATAATATCTGGATTTTTCCTCGACTATATGTTAAAAGAATCCATAGATTTACTTAAAATTACTTTTAATTGTGTCTTATCGTTTCCGGTAATTTCTAGATTCTCATTCAATTTTAAAATCAACTTTAAATTTCCACATTCAATTCTGAAAATCCATGACAACTATGAATCCTACAAGACTATTCATAATCAATTTCCATTAACAGCTCTCCTCATTTGAACAACAGTTGCTTGACTACGTACACTTTCAAAGCCCTTTTGCTTCTACTTTCAATTATCCTTAAGTAATTGCAATTTTCCATCGACTAAAGTAAAATTAGCTTTATCAGAATGTAATTACAATTGCCTCAGAGTACAAAAGTCCATTGCAGCAAACATAACAAGTTTTGAGACTTAACTATGTCAATATTTTTAATGCATAAAATTTTCTGCATTTGTTATTCTGACATTCTGTCATTCTCTCGTTCCGTCATCGTCACGTATAGTTCATTTAGTCAACAAGTCTCTACTGACAATCACTTTCTATTTATGTATATGAGGTTTTAAACTTGCCATTTCCATTATGGATCATGATATGCAGATATTACTTGTATGCCTAGCTATTTTGAATTGGATATGGAACTATTTGAAGTTGTAAGAGAGCTTGTAGAAATGGAAAATGGATGTTTTACTCACAAACTCTGTAAATGAATGAGGAATCTTCCCTTAACGTCTGAGAGAACTATGGGTCGAACTAGTGTATTTCCTGGATAATACTAGTTTAAAAAGTGAGGCTCAGCAAAATTTTAACTCAAACGGCTTTTTCCTTTGACAAAAGTACAATAATAAATAATAATAATAATAATAATAATAATAATAATAAAATCTTTATCTTTAGTGTGTAATGGGATGTTAGCCACACATTTGAAGTTACATATTTGATGACATTACTTCTTCTGGCTTCCATGAGAAGGATTTAAGCTTCACTTCCCATTCTGAGTCCTAAACTGTTGATTGATTTGTCAGTATTGCAGAAATTAAGTGCCTAATTATGAAACTCTGGAGTCATATAGCTATTTTTGTTCACAAATTCACCTCCTGAGATAACGACTTGTCGCTTTATCTAGTACCAATGTCAAATAATAGCATCTTCATAGAATAGCATCTAGTCGTCCTTAAAACTGTACATTTACCAGCCAAATCTTCATATGGTCCGTCTACTTATGACGTCAGGGAGGATCAGCAAGAAAAGAACAATAGAAATTCCTGGAATTCCATTATTCTTTTATGAAAAATGACCGTTATTATCGACCGTCATAAGTGAACGACCCCATAGAAAGATTTGGCTGGTATATGTATAGTTTTAAGGACGACTAAATGCTATTCTTTAAAGATGCTATTAGTTGACATTAGAACTATGACGTTCATAATTTGAAGAAAATATAAAAGAAAGTTGATCTGGATTTATAAAATAAAACCAAATACATCATTTGTGAACGACCCCATAAAACTAAAATGAATATTGAAACCCGGAAATTAATTTTTGTAAATGAAAATTTTTTAATTAAATTTTTTAGATCAATATCAATTTTGTACCAACTTGATGTGTCATACATTTTTAATTTTCGTCCTGTCAGCAACAGTAAAGCTTCAAAAAAAATTTAATTTTAAAAATTCTACAAATTTTTAAGCAATACTCAGCTAAGGTTTTGCCTGTTTAATATCATTCAATGTTTTTGTCATTTAATTTCTATTAAGATAAACTTTTGTATGCTCAGTCTAATTTCCAATCTCGATTTCCGTTATCTTTCGACATTCCTAATAACTAATCACAATTGATTTGATTTTTATCACGAACTTTCATAAATATCTATTCAAAAATCCAAAAAAAAAAATAAATCGTTGTGCAAATAAATATTATATTGGCATTTATCAGGGGATGAATATATAATGTCGAAATATGTAGAGGAATGTACTTTAGATTCTCATGCTGCTGATTGAGTCTTTTCTCTATCTCGACATCAAATTATGGAAATTCATACGACACGATTTTAAAGCTGCGTATATGAAATGTTATTGGAAAGTCAAAGTAGGACGACGTGAAGCTTTAAGGGTAATAACCAAGAAACGCATTTTCACATCTCATTGAATTTAATGGGAAAATCAGTAACAACCAGATTTTGTGAATTTAAATTTTTTTTAACAACATTGCATGACCTTTGGTAATAAGCTTTAGTGAAGCTCCAAAAAAAACTTTTTCATTCAGATTCAAAAAAATAATTTTTAGAGACAAAACTCGCTGTGCACATTTTTAATATCCCATAAACATTTTACGACAAGATTAAGCATTCTAAATACTAACATAAAAAAAAGTCTCCAAGCTTTTTGCACTCGAAATGTAAATTTTCAGTAAGCCATCCAGACTGAAATTAATGGATCATTTATTTCATGAAAACACGCGGAAAATTTTCTACATGACTCGATTTTCATGTCACTGTACATATGGGGTCAATTTGCATATTATGTAGCTACAAAATTGGATTTTTGGAATACGTTAAAGAGTTCTGTCACTAAACTAAGGTATGGAATGACATAGTGTAATAACGGTTTGGTTACATCATTGGTTGAGTACCGACTAGCTTGCTAGATGTAAATGTCAACACGATTACCTTCGGATTCTAACCTATAATTCTCATTAAAAATTAGACGTCATTTGTGAACCACCCCCAACTCTATAAGTCATAAAGCATAATTCCAAGAACTCATAAGATATTCATAAAACAACAAGCTTGAAAGTATTATTTTTAATGTGAAGTTATACGTATGAGTGAAGGACATTAGCTGCACAGCAGTTTGATGTCGTTAGAGAAAAAAAAGTATATCCAATATACAAAATGAAATTAACAGTGAAACGTATATGCATGGGAGTTCAGTCGATCATATATGATGACATAATTCCATAATTAAAAAAATTTCTATATTATGGATATAGCTTGACAATCCCCATGACGCAATTATTATTAAGCCCTATCAAATTATTATTTCCATGAAAGCAGTTTTTGCTCAATAGAAAATTATTTTATTACAGCAATTTGCAGATATAATCAGCACATAAGAGGGGAAGAGAAGTAGGAAGTTGAGATAAAGGAATTTATAAGAAAGCAACAGGATGAAATTCTCGTTACCTACTCGAGGCGGTGGCACCGGTATGACGCTTTTCTCAAAGCTCATACGCACAAAAGACTTGAGAAAGCTTCAAGGAGACGATCCAAAAAGCAACAAGCCAAAAATGACAGTGAGTATTATTAATGTGATAATTTGCAGCAAGCATCCTTGATATGAACATTGTTTTCCCCTTCTTTTTTACAATTTAGAAATGTCTAACAACATTAGATTTAACATCATTAGGAGTTGGTTCGTGTTGTGGTACAGGAATGTATCTAGTTGCTGGAATGGTAGCGCGCAACATAGCCGGTCCTGGTGTTATTTTTAGTTTCATTATTGCAGCAGTTGCAAGCATCTTTTCAGGTAAAATCTAATTACAGTCAATATGATGCATAATTAACTTTGAGAATCTCCATCTATTTAGGTGCATGCTATGCTGAATTTGGCGTACGAGTACCACACACATCCGGGTCAGCTTATATGTACTCATATGTCTCTGTCGGTGAATTTGTAGCATTTGTGATCGGATGGAATATGATATTAGAGTATCTAATTGGCACTAGTGCCTGTGCATGTGCTTTGAGTGCCAGCTTTGATTCTCTTGCTGGTGGATCAATAAGTAGTAGCATAAATGAAACGTTTGGCACCGTCTTCTCACATCCACCAGATTTTATTGCATTTATCATTGCATTACTCATGACATGCGTCCTTGCATGTGGAGCTAGTAAATCTGTAATATTCAACAACGTACTCAACACCATAAATCTTGCTGTTTGGATTTTCATCATGACAGCTGGGTTATTCTATGTAGACACGAAAAACTGGACAGAACATGACGGTTTTCTTCCGTACGGTTGGAGTGGCGTATTTACTGGTGCTGCCACATGCTTCTATGCATTTATAGGATTTGATATTGTAGCAACAACAGGTGAAGAAGCACATAATCCCCAAAAAAGTATTCCAAAAGCTATTGTCGGATCGCTCATAATCGTTCTCATCGCATATGTAAGCAGCAGGTAGTTACATGATTCTTTCTTCTATTTCTCCTTCAATCAATCTAATGAGATTTTATTTTATTTTTAGTCTCATTCTCACCCTCGTAGTTCCTTACGATCATATTGACGTAGGCTCAGCACTTCTGCACATGTGGACATATGTGGGTGCTCCAAAATGTAGAGCTATTGTTGCTCTCGGTGCGACGGCTGGTCTTAGCGTTGCTATGTTTGGCTCAATGTTTCCAATGCCTCGAGTAAGTTATTCAATTATGTTGAGAATGAATTCTCTTTAAGTGATGTAAGATGCTAATGGATGAGATCCAAACGTATGTTGACAACTCTCGAGATGTTTATTTGTTGCCATAATATCACTGAAGAAATTGATTTAAAATTACCAGGAATTGCCATGGGTTTTTTTTTTCAAGCATTTTCCATTCAGCCTTTTGAGTAGGTGTTCTTAAGATAAGATGTGAAGACTGTCTACTTGAAACAATTTTTATAATCATCTCAAGGATTTGTTTCAATATCTTTGTGTATAATTCTTTAAGATTCTTTATTTATGAAATTGTTTTTCTCAAGTTTTTTATTGGACAAATGACGTCTTGAGCCAAAAGGGGTGTGAAACTGATTAGAAATGACCATCCTCATCCTTAATTAGAGTTTATTGCTAATCACTTGAGTGATCCTAATATAAAGTATTTCTATAAATCTAATAGTATTGATATCGTCCAGAAGAATCCTGTAATATCAAAATTTAAGTCTTCTTTTTCCAAAAAATGTTCGACGTCATAGATCAATGACTTCCATCCCTCTATAGCAATCAAAATAACTCAGCTTTTGCAAATCCCTCACTAAAGACTTACGATAAGACTTCCATTACCATACACATCACAAAAAACACATTGCAAAAACTAAAGCCTATTAAAGAGATATTGCATAATCCTGTTCCTTAATAATATACAATTGCCTCAGCCATAAATAATTTAATTCAACACAATAAATATTTCTTAATGTACTTTCAGGTGATTTATGCTATGGCATCAGATGGTCTAATATTTAAGAAACTTGCCCAATTATGGACGAAAACAGGCGTTCCAGGTATTGCGACAATAGTAAGTGGAATATCAGCAGCGATTGTTGCTTTGTTCGTGAGACTTGAAATTCTTGTGGAGATGATGTCGATTGGAACTTTATTGGCATACACACTTGTGTCAACATGCGTTCTTGTATTGAGATATCAACCACATAGTACCTCACTAATTGACTTATTACCAGCTCAACTAAGAACTCCGGTTCCAGCAAGCACGCCAGATCCAACAAATGAAACAAAAATTACGAAAAATATCTTAGTGAGGAAAGTCACAAGAACATCTCCAGATTCTGATGACTCATTTGTTGACGATAGTCCAGATAATCATTATTTCGGTCGCGATGATCAATTCCTTGTCTCGGATCGTAATGAAAATAAGTTTTATGGAAGTGTACATGGTGAGCTATTAGATTGACTATTGTAGAATGTTGTTACTGAATATTTGAATTGTGATCTTTTAGGTGCACCACAAGCAGGTGGAGTTCCTTTTGATGCAGTGCCTGGATTGGGAATTATAGGTAGAAAGGTTCATGAATACGCATATCTCTGTCCTGGCTTCTTTCCATGGATTAATCCTGGACCAGCAACAGAAGAGAGTGGTAAGGAGCTTTACTATCATGAAGTCTTGCTACTTTTTAATTGCAAATTTTCTCATTTCAGGAATGTTTGTGACAAAGCTGGTTGGCTTGATGTACATTTGTATCTTCTCATTAGACCTCCTCCTTGCCATCGGCTTCAGCGGCTCATTTTTCGGTTTAATATTCATCTTCTTAGTTCTTTCAATAATCTTCATTCTTTTGGTCATTTCACGCCAGCCACAAAATCGTTATGCACTTCCATTTCTTACTCCGGGACTTCCATTCATTCCAACAATCGCCATCACAGTTAATATTTATTTAATATTTAAGTTAAGCATATTGACACTAGTGAGATTCACACTATGGATGTGCTTAGGATTAATAATGTACTTTTATTATGGCATCACGAACAGTATCTTGGAGAATCCAACAGAGGAAATTGAATTGACTGTAGATCAAAATTATCTCAAATCACCACAAAAGGTAAAATTAAATTAATTTAATGAAATTTTAGTAAAGCTAATTTTCAAAATTCCTCAGAATAATAATAATGATAGACGACAAGAAAAGGGAGCAGTTTGGGAGAATCGGCATGGTTACGAAAATAAAATGGCAACAGACGATTGGAATACAACGAATGGTGGATCAAATCAAAACTGGTCTACGTATAACTATAATTCAAATAATTCAAACAATTCAAATTGGAATGAACCTAATGCCACAATAAATTACACAACACAACCAACTTATGTGACAACAACAAGTCGCCAACAACCACCACAACCCCCTCAACATAGACCTAGTCCAAAGAAAGAAGGATTTTCCACGCTCTTTGTGGCTGAATCAAGTTTTCCATCGTGGGAAGATTAAGTTTGTTGAGACACGAGGAAGCCATAGGTAATAATATATATTTCATTTGTTCATTCCATACACAATACACAATGACAGAACTAAAGAAGTAACCTAGTTAAGAAATGAGAGAATATTATCAAAATTTACTTAACGATCGCCTGTCATTCGATGATGAAAGATTTTTTGTTAACTTTCATCATTAGATGACATGACAATATAAAAAGTATATACACAACAAGAAGTATGAGAAATAAGTTTTTTGAATCACATAAGGAAGTAAATTAATAAATAACATTAAAGATAACCTATCTTAAAGAAACCAAAACATAAGATTCTTTAGTCAGAGAAAGTTAATAAACAAAAAAATATTAATAAATTGAATATGAATATATAAAAGACGTTCAAAAGCAAAACGATTATAAATTGGACGTGTTGACAAAAACAAAAAAATAGAATATTTACTCAAAAAGGATATTATTGCAAGCAATAATAAGTTTTAAAAAGGCAAAACAATATATATTAAAGAATATAAAACAGTTTACAAACTTCATTAAACTCCACGTTCATAAATAATGTGTCTAAATTATTAATTCAAATTAATTCTACTCAAAAGCAAAGTTATCGGACGGTACAAGGATAATGAGGAATTCTTAAGATGAAAAATATCGCATTACTTAAAGTTTATTTACAATCCTGATAGAGCAACTCAATAAATTCCTAAGGAACTCAATAATGTTTACATTACTAGCATGAGAAAGGCACTTAAACTCCACTTAAGCATCCTGCATTGTTATTCTAAACGATTCAATCATCTTTGATAGCTGTCAAGCTTCACAACAAACAACTTAAGTAAGATAAATTTACCTTGAAAACTGAGTAAGCTTCAATGAAAACAGTAAGCTGAGAAAGCTACAATGCTTGTCATAATTAGGATTAAAATATTGACAATAAAACCCCAGAATAATCTCTCTCAATGAATAGATGGAAACCTTTCTTGCATCTTCTTTCACAAATGTATCCAATCGCAAAGAGACTTTGATCGATGAGATGCTCTACAAAGGAACAACATCTGAGTAAACAAGCTTAATATCCAGTAATGCTCACGAATGTCTTAAAGGTAGTTTTAATTTAGTCAAAATCTTTCACAATCAGCACATAACTTCTTCTTCGGAATGATTTGACTATCAAGAAGCTAACAGGACTAGCACATAATACAACTTAACCTCAAAACTCTAAACCATCTCTGTAAATTACCATTCTCAGTCATTTTCCATTAAAAAAGCAGTTTTATAAACAAAATATCCTTTAAATAGAACCTCCTATGTCCACAAACATTCATTCCCTTGTACCGTACGACGAACTTTATCATATAAGTGAGAATAATTAATTTTATATACCTACTTAGTATCCAAAGGCGTTAATTTTATCCCTTTCTATTTATAATCAATTTTATGAAGCAGGCTAGTCATATAAAGGAATGAAAAATAAATTTTTTGATGAATATACTATTTTTAAAAAAAAATCTATCAAGTTTAAATTGAGAGAGACATGAAGCATATAACTTTACAAAAACATTTCTTAATTATTTTTCGATAAATCTTTCTCATCTATAATATCCTATTAACTATTTTACGTGATTGTAGGAAGTCATGCATGTCATAGAAAAATACTTTTAATCTGCTCCTTTATTCGATCACCTTTACATCATTTTTAATATCATCTGTGGCAAAACAAACCATAAAAGCTGACACGCAATGGAAATGCCGATGAATTTAAAACCGATTTCATATTCCCAATAAAATGATGAGACCCCAAGAGAAGTCCAAAGCAATTTAAGTCTGTTAGATAGAAAGTTAAGAAATTAGATAGTATATTAGTGAGATATTGAAGAATCTAAGATCTATTAACGGTTTTAAAGGCATCGTCCTGATCCCAAAAATTATCGTAAAGAGACACAGATGATAAATTATTGTAATTAATTGGATTCCTTCTTCTTTGCAACTGATTATTACATTCCAAAGAATGCAATGTCCAGCGTAATTCACCTGTGAGTATATCCATAAAGGAGATTGAAATTTATTGCTCTATTTTATTCCGTAAAAGAAAACTTTCATTGTTCTATGATAATAGCGACGGTAACGACTACTAATAGTAGTTATTATTGCTCTTATAAATCACATGCTTCAGCTGATAATATCGTTTGCTGCTCACAAGTATTACGTTATGGTTATTTTTTTTTTCTAAATTGATTGATTAATTGTAAATTAAATCCAACATCCACGAATCTCAACTGACTTAATTTTTCCCTTTTCCAAATTGATTTCCTTGTAGATCTGATACTTAACTGTATCTCATAGCGAAAATGAAAATAATATAAATGAGGTGAAAATTTATTCAAAAGAAAAAGTTGACACATAAACACTAATAAAGGAACATATCATTTTTGATTAGTTGATAACGATGTTAAGGAAAATTTTAAGGCGTAAAATGCGAAACAGTAAAATATAAGTCGATAATTCGATATGAAAAGTTATTGATGAATGATTAACAAAAGAGACAAGACAAAAAAAAATAATAGAAATTTAACTTTACTCACCCAACATTCCGTTGTTCATGCTGATTGTTTTCCATTCCACTTGATTTAAAGCTCATAAAGTCCAATCTGATTAGTTCAACTGACAACTTTTAAATGAAATTGTATTGTTTTAGAATAAGCAATTGTGAAGTTTTCCAACATTGTAATATTCCTAACCTTTAAAACATTTAAATTCAAAAATAAAAACTTTAAAAATTGAAAATGATTGGACTTTATAATTTGATTTGAAAATAACTTAAATTATGGCTCGATGACAAGAAAATAATGGAGTTAATAATGTAGAACAGATGAAATAAGCACACACCATTGATAAAATATGGAAAAATATAAAATATTCAATCAATAGATAGATTGCATTAAAATACAAAATTAATCCAAAAGAATAAAATATATCACTATGTTGACTATGATTTTATAAAAAAAAAAAGTATTAAAGAAGCAAACACTAACCAAAGAAAGATTAAATTATGCAGTTTTACGAGAGTTACGTACATTTTTCATAAACATTTTTGAATTGTTGAATTCTTAGTTATGTTTGGAAAAAGCAGTGGATTTAAAGGAATTATCTATAGTAAGAATATAAGAGAATTGTAAAGACTTTTGAGCATTTTTCCAATGTTTTCATGATTAATAATTGATAAGTTTAATGTTAACGATGATTATACGTGTTCAGAGTGATAAATTGATTGATTATTGCTCCTGGAAAAATAAAATCGAGAAATGGTAAAAATATGGATGTGATTTTAATCTCATGGATTAAAACTAAGCAATGCATTGCATTAAAATCACTCCATGATAGTTCTTCTTGATAAAATGAAGAATTTACAGCCAAAGCTTGCAGATTACAACTGACACAACATTTTTCTATTTTATTCCAAATAAATTAAATTTGATTTTAAACTGTTTTAGACTCAGTAAGATATTAATAAAGATCATTCCCTTATCTAAAGAAAAATTTGTGTTGTTTCTCTCGCTGTTATACTATCCATATAAGAATGATGAAAACATTTAACTATAATTGGAGCATGAACAAATCAAATAAATTCTAATTATAATATAAATAATAATTATAAAAGCATATTGAAAAAAAAAGAATTTTTAATGAATCAGTTAAGCTAAAAATGTGAAAACATCTTTTGATTATGTGATAATAAAACAAGAAACAAATTATTGAAAATCTAATAAAATTATTGAATGATTAAATACAAAATTAAAAGTTTTTTGATTTGTTTCTTCCATTTTTCTATGATATAATACTGTTTTAATGTTCTTAATCTTAAGATATCTTCAATCTTCATCATTCCCAATGTTTATACTCTATAAGTTTGTGTCTAATTTCAGTTATCAACTGATTCCTATCCTACTATTGATTTTGTTTAAAATTTACTCAAATTTATTTTATTTAAGGTAAATTTGTAGCTTTTTAAGTTTCCTTCATAATGTCTCTATTTGACTATCTTTGCTGATAATTTTCCACTAATTTGTGACTATTTATAAAAATTGAAAAACCCTAAAAGGGGCCGTTCACTTATTACGTTCGCATTTTAGGGAGGAGGGGGGGTTTGAAAAATTGTAACAAAATGTAACATAGGGGGGGGGGGGGGGTGTCAAGAAGGATGTAACGTTCTAACTGTCGTCTGTTTTTTAAAAAAAGTTCAAGAAAAAAATTTGTTTACAAATTCACACCAACAAGATTTTTTTAAATTTTCCACCTTTTTAATGATTTATGAATGTCCAGATCACTTTTGATAGCTAAGCAATACATAGTTTTTGTTATATAAAGTAACAAATCAATAGAAAACTGGTTTACAAGACTTTAAAATACAATCATAATTTGTGGAAATTTTCAAAATTAAATCAATCAAAAGTTTAAAAGTAAATCTCTCTTAATCTGTCATTCATATGATGATTAATATGATCCCATCGTTGTGATATTTACATTCAAAGTTGATTGAATTTTCCAAAATTCGATCGGGCATAATATTTTTCATGACATTTTTGAATTTTCGGTTTCGATCATAGTAGGCTATTTTCAAAAAAATATCGATTTTTTTTTCTATATTAGCATTTAAAGCATTTTTGGTTACGATCATAGAAGGCTATTTTCAAAAAAACTTCGATTTTATTTCTATTTTAGCATTCTTTATCATTTATAATACCTAGATATGTTTCAAAATGCAATTTAAAGCATTTTTGGTTTCGATAATAGTAGGCTTTTTTCAAAAAAATATCGATTTTATATCTATATTAGCATTCTTTATCATTTATAATACCTAGATATGTTTTAAAATGCAATTTAGAGCATTTTTGGTTTCGATCATAGTAGGCTATTTTCAAAAAAATATCGATTTTTTCTCTATATCAGCATTCTTTATCATTTATAATACCTAGATATGTTTTAAAATGCAATTTAGAGCATTTTTGGTTTCGATCATAGTAGGCTATTTTCAAAAAAATATCGATTTTTTCTCTATATCAGCATTCTTTATCATTTATAATACCTAGATATGTTTTAAAATGCAATTTAAAGCATTTTTGGATTCGATCATAGTAGGCTATTTTCAAAAAAATATCGATTTTATATCTATATTAGCATTCTTTATCATTTATAATACCTAGATATGTTTCAAAATGCAATTTAGAGCATTTTTGGTTTCGATCATAGTAGGCTATTTTCAAAAAAATATCGATTTTTTCTCTATATCAGCATTCTTTATCATTTATAATACCTAGATATGTTTTAAAATGCAATTTAGAGCATTTTTGGTTTCGATCATAGTAGGCTATTTTCAAAAAAATATCGATTTTTTCTCTATATCAGCATTCTTTATCATTTATAATACCTAGATATGTTTTAAAATGCAATTTAAAGCATTTTTGGATTCGATCATAGTAGGCTATTTTCAAAAAAATATCGATTTTATATCTATATTAGCATTCTTTATCATTTATAATACCTAGATATGTTTTAAAATGCAATTTAGAGCATTTTTCGTTTCGATCATAGTAGGCTATTTTCAAAAAAATATCGATTTTTTCTCTATATCAGCATTCTTTCTCATTTATAATACCTAGATATGTTGTAAAATGCAATTTAAAGCATTTTTGGATTCGATCATAGTAGGCCATTTTCAAAAAAATATCGATTTTTTCTCTATATCAGCATTCTTTATCATTTATAATACCTAGATATGTTTCAAAATGCAATTTAAAGCATTTTTGGTTTTGATCATAGTAGGCTATTTTCAAAAAAATATCGATTTTATATCTATATTAGCATTCTTTATCATTTATAATACCTAGATATGTTTCAAAATGCAATTTAAAGCATTTTTGGTTTCGATCATAGTAGGCTATTTTCAAAAAAATATCGATTTTATATCTATATTAGCATTCTTTATCATTTATAATACCTAGATATGTTTCAAAATGCAATTTAAAGCATTTTTGGTTTCGATCATAATAGGCTATTTTCAAAAAAATATCGATTTTATTTCTATTTTAGCATTCTTTATCATTTATAATACCTAGATATGTTTCAAAATGCAATTTAAAGCATTTTTGGTTTCGATAATAGTAGGCTTTTTTCAAAAAAATATCGATTTTATATCTATATTAGCATTCTTTATCATTTATAATACCTAGATATGTTTTAAAATGCAATTTAGAGCATTTTTGGTTTCGATCATAGTAGGCTATTTTCAAAAAAATATCGATTTTTTCTCTATATCAGCATTCTTTATCATTTATAATACCTAGATATGTTTTAAAATGCAATTTAGAGCATTTTTGGTTTCGATCATAGTAGGCTATTTTCAAAAAAATATCGATTTTTTCTCTATATCAGCATTCTTTATCATTTATAATACCTAGATATGTTTTAAAATGCAATTTAAAGCATTTTTGGATTCGATCATAGTAGGCTATTTTCAAAAAAATATCGATTTTATATCTATATTAGCATTCTTTATCATTTATAATACCTAGATATGTTTCAAAATGCAATTTAGAGCATTTTTGGTTTCGATCATAGTAGGCTATTTTCAAAAAAATATCGATTTTTTCTCTATATCAGCATTCTTTATCATTTATAATACCTAGATATGTTTTAAAATGCAATTTAGAGCATTTTTGGTTTCGATCATAGTAGGCTATTTTCAAAAAAATATCGATTTTTTCTCTATATCAGCATTCTTTATCATTTATAATACCTAGATATGTTTTAAAATGCAATTTAAAGCATTTTTGGATTCGATCATAGTAGGCTATTTTCAAAAAAATATCGATTTTATATCTATATTAGCATTCTTTATCATTTATAATACCTAGATATGTTTTAAAATGCAATTTAGAGCATTTTTCGTTTCGATCATAGTAGGCTATTTTCAAAAAAATATCGATTTTTTCTCTATATCAGCATTCTTTCTCATTTATAATACCTAGATATGTTGTAAAATGCAATTTAAAGCATTTTTGGATTCGATCATAGTAGGCCATTTTCAAAAAAATATCGATTTTTTCTCTATATCAGCATTCTTTATCATTTATAATACCTAGATATGTTTCAAAATGCAATTTAAAGCATTTTTGGTTTTGATCATAGTAGGCTATTTTCAAAAAAATATCGATTTTATATCTATATTAGCATTCTTTATCATTTATAATACCTAGATATGTTTCAAAATGCAATTTAAAGCATTTTTGGTTTCGATCATAGTAGGCTATTTTCAAAAAAATATCGATTTTATATCTATATTAGCATTCTTTATCATTTATAATACCTAGATATGTTTCAAAATGCAATTTAAAGCATTTTTGGTTTCGATCATAGTAGGCTATTTTCAAAAAAATATCGATTTTATTTCTATTTTAGCATTCTTTATCATTTATAATACCTAGATATGTTTCAAAATGCAATTTAAAGCATTTTTGGATTCGATCATAGTAGGCTATTTTCAAAAAAATATCGATTTTATTTCTATTTTAGCATTCTTTATCATTTATAATACCTAGATATGTTTCAAAATGCAATTTAAAGCATTTTTGGATTCGATCATAGTAGGCTATTTTCAAAAAAATATCGATTTTTTCTCTATATCAGCATTCTTTATCATTTATAATACCTAGATATGTTTTAAAATGCAATTTAAAGCATTTTTGGTTTCGATCATAGTAGGCTATTTTCAAAAAAATATCGATTTTTTCTCTATATCAGCATTCTTTATCATTTATAATACCTAGATATGTTTTAAAATGCAATTTAAAGCATTTTTGGATTCGATCATAGTAGGCTATTTTCAAAAAAATATCGATTTTATATCTATATTAGCATTCTTTATCATTTATAATACCTAGATATGTTTTAAAATGCAATTTAGAGCATTTTTCGTTTCGATCATAGTAGGCTATTTTCAAAAAAATATCGATTTTTTCTCTATATCAGCATTCTTTCTCATTTATAATACCTAGATATGTTGTAAAATGCAATTTAAAGCATTTTTGGATTCGATCATAGTAGGCCATTTTCAAAAAAATATCGATTTTTTCTCTATATCAGCATTCTTTATCATTTATAATACCTAGATATGTTTCAAAATGCAATTTAAAGCATTTTTGGTTTTGATCATAGTAGGCTATTTTCAAAAAAATATCGATTTTATATCTATATTAGCATTCTTTATCATTTATAATACCTAGATATGTTTCAAAATGCAATTTAAAGCATTTTTGGTTTCGATCATAGTAGGCTATTTTCAAAAAAATATCGATTTTATATCTATATTAGCATTCTTTATCATTTATAATACCTAGATATGTTTCAAAATGCAATTTAAAGCATTTTTGGTTTCGATCATAGTAGGCTATTTTCAAAAAAATATCGATTTTATTTCTATTTTAGCATTCTTTATCATTTATAATACCTAGATATGTTTCAAAATGCAATTTAAAGCATTTTTGGATTCGATCATAGTAGGCTATTTTCAAAAAAATATCGATTTTATTTCTATTTTAGCATTCTTTATCATTTATAATACCTAGATATGTTTCAAAATGCAATTTAAAGCATTTTTGGATTCGATCATAGTAGGCTATTTTCAAAAAAATATCGATTTTTTCTCTATATCAGCATTCTTTATCATTTATAATACCTAGATATGTTTTAAAATGCAATTTAAAGCATTTTTGGTTTCGATCATAGTAGGCTATTTTCAAAAAAATATCGATTTTATTTCTATTTTAGCATTCTTTATCATTTATAATACCTAGATATGTTTCAAAATGCAATTTAAAGCATTTTTGGATTCGATCATAGTAGGCTATTTTCAAAAAAATATCGATTTTTTCTCTATATCAGCATTCTTTATCATTTATAATACCTAGATATGTTTTAAAATGCAATTTAGAGCATTTTTGGTTTCGATCATAGTAGGCTATTTTCAAAAAAATATCGATTTTTTCTCTATATCAGCATTCTTTATCATTTATAATACCTAGATATGTTTCAAAATGCAATTTAAAGCATTTTTGGTTTCGATCATAGTAGGCTATTTTCAAAAAAATATCGATTTTATTTCTATTTTAGCATTCTTTATCATTTATAATACCTAGATATGTTTTAAAATGCAATTTATTATCTTAATCCAATAATTCATGAGAATACTAATAGTATCAATCAAAACATGACCTATTAAGCTGTACAGTATTTTGATGTTTAAGAAAAAAAAATACAAAAGAAATTTAACCGTCTTTTTAGATTTAAAAGAAATAAAATAAATTATGAACGTTCAGGGGGGGGGGGTGAGTTGTAACAAGGTGGGGGGGGGGGGTAAAAAGTCGTTTTTTTGCGTAACGTAATAAGTGAACGGACCCAAATATAATATTTGGTGTGATTATTTAACTTCTTTATTTATATTTTTTAACCCAGATATAATTCTCATCAAGAGCTATCCTTAAAAATCCTCATCACTAATCATTTCATCTTTAATGTTTAAAGGTTCTTCCTTCTCAATATCACTAGACTCATCGGTGTTGTTATCTTTCTTAAACTTAATTAACAAATGAGCTCTTTTGATGAAATCTTCCGCTTCTTCGTCATTGTTCAGTACTTTATATCCTTTTACAGCATTGACCAGCATCTCATGTCTGTTTGTGATCTTTGGATCTATTTCTATTGCAGCATACAAGTACTGGAAGGTTAGATGAGTTAATTATGTATCCATAAATCATGCATTAAAGATTTTGGCTAGTTAAAGCATGATCCAGCGAGGAAAAGTCATAACTTACCTCAAAAAGTTGTGTTGAGATATATAAATCCCGTTTATCAAGTCCTTTATGGATGATTTCATATAATACTCTAAAATTTCTGTCCTCAAATGCTTGATGTGCAGCTTCTAATGTATTTGCATGACTTTGTGCCGGTTCCTGGGTATTAAAATATCTGTATCTTTTTAGATGACAATGAGATATTATAAATTTTGGTTTCTTATTATGTGACTCAGATTTCTTCTCAATGTCGTCCATAGCCTGATCGTAAATTGGCTTAGGAACAAAGTATGTAGGCAATTCATTTGTTGAATTAAGTCTTGACATTTATTTAATTTAAATTTAACTTAACAAGATTTTATGAATGATTTATTATTGTTTATGCTTAAAGTTTGGGTTATTTTGGTAGAGGTCGCTGATATCATTGAGGAGATTGACATTTTAAGCTGTAATTTAACGTAATTTTAGAGATCCAGTAAATGAACTTATTTTTCGTCCTCAGATTCTTCTTCGCCTGACATTTCCTCGTCTTCCTGTTCCTCCTCTGCTTCTTCTTCGGAACTGCTGCTTACATCAGATCCACTGTCGAAAACTTTGTCTTTATTTTCTTTTAAGATTTTTTTGTACTGCCTTACTGTTATTTTGTTTGGAATGATCTGTAAATAGATTAGGTATGATATTTATGTCCATTAATGAATTGAATAGTCATCAATCATGTGAAAAGCATGATCCAGTGTGACTGAATCAACAGTTTTTAATAGATCCAGGATAGACTCTAGTCCAGCTGCATCTAGCATACAAAACAAAAACAGCTTTCATACCTGATGCAAGAAGTCTAATTTCTCTTCATCCTGTACGTACTGTGCTAGTGATTGATATGAGAGTGCCTTTTTATCAAGATTGTATGCTTCCCTAGACAAATATCGTATGAAATACTCTGTTGCTGTACATATCATATAATTAGCTTCATTAGCTATATTATCTGTTATATTTGGATCCATCTTCATGATTTTCTTGATTCTTGCCATCGGAAGGATGTTATCCAAGTATCGTGATTTGCTATTCCCAAGAGATTGTCTTTTGTCATCGCTTGTATCAGCTGTTTTTGTGTCTTCTGTAGCCATTATGCTGTAATTAATAATTTTTTGTAATTATTTGCCGCTTTTAAATATTCAGTAGCTTAGACTTGCTCAGAAATCAGCAACAAAAATAACGGTTTTTCAAAATTTAAATCACCAATAATTCCGTGAGAAAAGTACTGAATTTTTGTTGATATTGACTTCAGTTAATTATATTCTCAGTAATTTACAAGTGATTTATGCTCTATGGAGAGCTGAAAAGAGGCAGTAATTAATAGAATAATAATCATTAACCATCACAATATAATTCGCAATCCAAATAAGCAACAGAAACTCATAGGAAAAGTGAAAAATATTAAAAATTTAAAAGTGGCTAATGTTTATGGATTTAATCATATCTAGTATTTAATTAATTAATAGTGAGACAATATGACTAATGTTGGGTAAGTCAACAATATAATAAACAGCCCAATTAAAGAGATTTCATATATTACGTCGACAAAATTTTCTTTGTCATGCTGAATTTCACATAACTGCGTTCTAAAGCAACATAAATAGCTATTTCCTGTGTCAATCTCTTTGTTAACATCAACATACATCTGTTGGATATTTTTCAGATTCCGTAAAAGGTCAAGGTCGCGTGAAGACTTTAATGAAGAGTTCCCACTGTCCAAAAGAATCAATAATTTGCAGATATCAGGGGAGTTTAGATTTACACAAATTCCATTAAATCAGCACATACAACAGCCAGAAGAGACACAACAACCAAACCAGCATAATGCAATGCCAACATATAATCCAGAACTGACATTTGAGGAGAATCCAGTCTACTTCCGTGAGAATAATGTCCTCTATGATCTTTACCTTGAAAGAATGCGAAGGAACAACAAGGATCCAGTGCTTTAAATTATTAAGTTCTTATCTCATTCTCAAAATGCTAATCCTTTATACTATATATTTTATATTAAGAACAGTCCAAAGAATTTTGTGTCTCATTTGCGAACCTATCTGTTTTTTGAACTTAAATAAGATGTTGCTGTATTATCAATTTCGTGTGATAACTAAGTGCGTACGTTCAAGTTTTGAAAATTTGGCATTGACTAATTGAACGAGAATTTTTGAAATTTGATACGATTAATAAAACAATGTCCTTTATTTTTGACTTAAAGTTTGCATTCTGTGAATTAGCCCCGAGTGGACAAAGTACTAGTTAAAAGCTTGCCATTGACTTGCCTGTTCAAGGCGAGTAAGTTTCCATTGACGTGCCTTTGCAACTAGACTTAGGGACGACTAATGACATATTTTGCGCTTTCCATTTAACTGGACATAGGAATTGCACATATGTCTAGTTAATGTCCAGTTACAAAAAAATCGAAATAAAATAAATAACACGTGTCTTTTTCTCCATTTTTTTTCTTTTGTAAAATTTTAATTATTGTATTAGTGTAATTAATTAATTAAAGTACACTATCACTTATGAAAAATCTCTAGTAAACATTAAGTCTCGAACACTTGCGCGTGAAACATTTATATTTACTTAAAATTTTCATACAAATTTTGGTAGACCTTATATTAGTGATTTCTGCAAGCGCTTGTGAAGTATATGGTCAAAAAAGTAAGGAAAATTATTTTTGAGTTTCGAGCACTTGATTGACTAGCATGAATGTCCAGTTAAAGTCTAGTTAACGTCTAGTTCTCTGCGTCGTATAAATTTCGGCAAGTTAAAAGACTGTTAAATGATTGTCCAATAATGGACTTTAACTGGCTGTGTCCACCCGGGAGCATGTCATGATGATTTGAAAGAATTGTGTAGGAATTAGTCACGTTACTCATAAAAATATGCATCGTCACCTTGATTACTACATCATTCTAAATTGGTGATACAACTAGCTCAAGGCTGAATGGAAAATGCTGTGCAAGTTCATTCACTGGATCAGGTAATAATAATTAAAGCTCGTACCTGTAAAGCTCTTAAACACATCAGTCTACCTGACTTAATCACAACACTTCCTCAAAATCCAGTTAATCTAAAGCATTAAGTTGGCCTGATTGCCCTCGATTGACAGAATGTAGAAACCTTTATTTAATGCAGAGTTCACAGAACTTTAGGTTTCTTCACTAAGTTCAAGTTATCCACTGATTCACTGGATATTACTTCAAGGATTAATGTCAGCCAATTAACACGATTGAGCTCTTTTGTCCATACAACTGAAAGATGGTCAATTAATCCACAGCTTTTTAGGGAAATGAAAGGAATTGTTGAAGCTTTCTCGCACATCATTTGTGTAGCTGTTGAAGCAATATTATGGAGTCATCCTCGCTGTGCACTGATATAAAGATTCTATCTGTATTTTTGCCTTGGGGGTACTCACACACTCTATGAATAGCTAAGGGGCCGTTCGCATTTTAGGGAGGGGGGGGTTGAAAAATTGTAACAAAATGTAACATAGGGGGGGGGGGGGGTGTCAAGAATTATGTAACGTTCTAACGGGGGGTTGTGAGTTGTAACATATTATAACAAGGGGGGGAGGGGGGGTGAAAAAAATTTTCTTTTGCGTAACGTAATAAATGAACGGCCCCTAATAATGACGAAAATCTCCTGTGTAATGCTGTGTTTGGAGGAATTTTCTTATTTTTTTCCATTTGTCTAAATCAGATAAATTCTGAGACAGATGTAGTTTATCGGGTAGAAACCCAATGCAGATTATATTCACACCGTACCATCAAAAGTCTTATGAATAGACCAAGATTTTCCAAGCATAAGTATGAAGGTATGAAGCTTGATAAGTCAACTGAGTTTCGCTCAGCATAGAATAGAATGTAATGTAGGGTTTTGCTAATAGCAAAAGCGGCACTGCGATCGATGATCTGTTGTACCATCCCAAGTCGCTCAGCATAAGTTTCAGGATATAAAGCTAGCGAGTCAGCTGAGCTTTGCTCAGCATATGTTTGAAGGTATAAAGCTTGACGAACATTCTTTAAAAGTTTTTTAAAACTTTTTTCATTCAATGTTGAATTTCATAAAAATCACATTAACCTTTGGTTTTGAAAAATTCATAGGAACGGAAAGTTTTTTGCTTTTTCTGAAGCAACGGCTGTTCCTACCTTGCCCAAAAACAATAAAGCTCTTCTATAGACCAGCACGGATCAAATGTAAAAAAACTAGAAGTCTCTACGATGTCTCGTTATTGAGATTTCTTGCTGATTAACTTGCTTGCTTACAGAAAGCGTATTTTGAGATTTTCTCAGCAATGTCGCAACTAATTTGAAATCTGTTTTTTGCAAAAGATGTAAAATTTCAGACACAAACTTTTCATCTCTGAACTTTTTAAGCTATCTTGCTCCATATCCTCAAAAATTCAAAGAAATGATTTTTCAATCTGAACAAAACCAATAGATTCACACGTGAAAACGGTGTGAATATAATAATCTATGTGTAGATTAGATTTTCTATCTACATTTGCAACACTGATCCAAATTGACCTGATTTTGTAATGAATTTTATTTTAAAACGCATTTTTTGATCATCAAAGAGTAAGCAATTCAGAGGAAGATAATGTATTTTAGAATAACAATTTTAATATTCCAGGACTTGAAAATGATTTGCTTGGAAATTGTCATAAATTTGATTTGAATCATTTGTATACAGCATAAAATTAATAATCACAGATTTTTATCAAATCAGCGTAAAAAATTCATTTAAAAGTACACACATAGTAATACCTTTCAAAATCAAAATATAAAGTCCAGCCATTCGTAGTAATCTTTATTCACACCTCGAGCATTTCCACATCCACATTTCAAACATTTTTAAATCATATCACATAAATTCTGAAAAACAATTCAAACAATGTAAGCGTGAAACAATAAGCATGGATGATATAAATTAGATTTAAACTGTACAACTTGTGGAATCTTTCTGTCGTATTCCAATCAGATAAAAATCTGGTTTGAGCGGATTAAAAAAAAGTGACAACATTAGGGTCTATCTTTCAGTAGGGATGAATGCTATCATCGCAAAAATTTCTCGTTCCATAGAAATGAAAAATAAATTCATTTTTTCTTCATGAGCCAACACTTGTGCAATAAATTATCGTTTTGTTTTCAGTAATGATGAAATTTTAAGCCGATTTGTCTCTCCTTTCTCTTTATTTTCTGTGGGATACAATGGTTGTTCATTAAATAACAGTATTTATGTGAGTAAATAAATATTATTATTATTTTTTTTTTTGTTGGGGAAATGTTCGTATCTTTTCAACATGAACACATTATTCCTATTAATACTTAGAGTGGCTAAACGAATTCTTCAAATATTGTTAAATTAATTACTGAGGGAAATCAAGAATTAAGTTCTTATCGAAATGATTTTTAATCGATTTACGAAAAAAAAGGGGTCACAATTGAAAAAGATATTCATGAAGTGTGTTTGGTTAATAAATTATGATTATAATTTGTTATATGAACACATCACAATGAATGAGGGGTCGAATCAAGTTCACTCATTTGGATGTTATGCATCGTATCTTATTTAATATTATCGTTTTCTTATTTCCTCCCTTTTTTAGTGCTGAATAATGTCCTTTTACGAAAAGAATCTCTCTTTTTGGAGTATGAAAGATGTCATAAAAAGTGAAAAGATATGATTGCATTTTATTTCTTTAAATTAGCATATTGGCTGCTTGAATATGGGACATATATCAACTTTAGTAGCTCACGAATTTTATTTGAGTTGTTTGTTATCAATGGGACATTAGAATTCTATGGAAATTATTTGATCTTGTGCTGAATTGATAAAAAATAAACAATTTAAGCTGATTGAATTCAAACCAATATAAAATCTAAGCTATTGAAGTAATCAATGTCAAAATTGAGATAAACTAGATTGGACCGAAAAATTCTTTTGAAAAATCATATTTTAATCAGTTCCGCAGCCTTTATTTGCCTTTATTTAAGTTGGAATGTTTCAACTTTATCTTACAATAAAAAAAAACTTTTTAAAAAACCACGTTTTTACCCGTGGACTAAAAAGCAGAAAATAACTTTTTTATTGGGTTCAAAGGACATTGGTTTGAAAATTTGAGATTGATTTGAAAGTTTCATACTAAAGTCATGACCATACATGAATTGCAAATTTATTCACTTCGACCATATCGTATAGTTCTACATCTTAAAACGTGGGCGCATTCATTAATGGTGTATATTTGGAAAGCTTAAATTTGGTATTCGATTTAAATCCAGCATTATGCCAGAGTCACACCAGTTTGGTGCTGCATTTCTGATCGATTAACCGACTTGTGCTATTCGGAATAATTTATTGTGATTTGACTCAATTTGACTAATTCATAAAATCTAAACTACAAACAAAATTCAATGACATGCCTCAAGACTATATCATCAATGAAAAACCCTTTGTCCAACTATAGTTCGCTTGATATCTTCAAATATATTAGTCATAATTAGCATGAATTCATTTGTCTACCAGAGCAATATAAACCTGTTGAATGCGTCTTATATTGACACAATCAGACCTCTAATCAATCATTCCTGCCTCATAAAATGTTAGCTTTTCAGCAGTAAGCAGAACAAAAACTTTGAAACATTTTTTTTATATATGTTAAAACTGCATTGATAAAAGCCATAAAAATAAACCAGCACAAGTTATTGATCTGACAAATATTGATTGAGTTAAAAAAGGCATCAGTTCATCAAATTGTAGAAATTTGTTTTAAAAGCAATGGTTTAACAAACGATCTTTTCAAATTTAAATTTTTACAAGTTAAATGCAGAAAAATATAAAGATGAATTCAAAACATTTTATTAATCATAGATACCTTTGCATTCAGTTTCTCTTCATTCGTTGAAATTCAGACGAGTTTTCACGTTCGTAAGTGATTTAATATTGTTTAAGTTTGAATGATAAAGTTCAACGGTGCTGTAAAAGTGATGGAACTAATAATTCTTAAGCATAAAACGTTGTTATGCTCAAATTAAAGAGAAAAGCAAAAGTGATTGAAAAAATAAATTTTTACATGAAAATGAAGTGAAAAGTTCGTTGAGAAGGAAAAAAGGAAGCCTGAAACGAAGCAAGAAGTCAAGAATCAGAAAGCTAAGTATTTAAATGAATGGGATTTAATTAACCCAGGGTTTTATGAT